AGGGACACCCAAGAGCCATCCAGGGAGCTCTTGGTCCCCCTATACTCACTCACCCGGGCCAACACAGAGTATACTTCTATACAAATGTTGGATATACCAGACATTTGCCGGGGCGATTCAATATGATGCTCCCGCGACCACTGCCTTACAAAATGCTGAAGCCTCAGGAGGGGGGGGGGATATCATTGGAAAGCGCTACGCCATGAAGGGGATTGAACACAGACCTGCAAGAAGCCAGACCCTCGCTCTACCGTCCACCCCAAGTGGTTGGGTTTCGGCCTCGTGAATAAAAGTGAATAAATAAAAAAAATAATGTGTGTGTGTGTGTGTGTGTACTCACTTAGGTGGTGATGGTGGTGGTGGTGGCTTTGTGGTGGTGGTGGCTTTGTGGTGGTGGTGGTGATGGCTGGTGGTGGTGGTGGTGGTGATGGCTTTGTGGTGGTGGTGTGATGGCTGGTGGTGGTGGTGGTGGCTGGTGGTGGTGGTGGTGGCTGGTGGTGGTGGTGGTGGTGGTGGTGGTGTGGCTGGTGGTGGTGGTGGTGATGGCTGGTGGTGGTGGTGGTGGTTTGTGGTGGTGGTGGTGATGGCTTTGTGGTGGTGGTGGTGATGGCTTTGTGGTGGTGGTGGAGTGGCTTTGTGGTGGTGGTGGTGGCTTTGTGGTGGTGGTGGTGGTGGCTGGTGGTGGTGGCTGGTGGTGGTGGTGGTGGCTGGCTTTGTGGTGGTGGTGGTGGTGGTGGTGGTGGTGGCTGGTGGTGGTGGTGGCTTTGGCTTTGTGGTGGTGATGGTTTGTGGTGGTGGTGATGGCTTTGTGGTGGTGGTGATGGTTTGTGGTGGTGGTGTGGCTGGTGGTGGTGGTGGTGGCTGGTGGTGGTGGTGGTGATGGCTTTGTGGTGGTGGTGGTGGCTGGTGGTGGTGGTGGTGGTGGTGGTGGTGGTGGTGGTGGTGGTGGCTGGTGGTGGTGGTGGTGGTGGTGGCTTTGTGGTGGTGGTGGTGGTGGCTTTGTGGTGGGTGGTGGTGGCTTTGTGGTGGTGGTGGTGGTGATGGCTTTGTGGTGGTGGTGGTGAGCTGGTGGTGGTGGTGGTGGTTTGTGGTGGTGGTGGTGGTGGTGGTGGTGGTGGCTTTGTGGTGGTGGTGGTGGTGTGGTGGTGGTGGTGGTGTGGTGGTGGTGGCTTTGTGGTGGTGGTGATGGCTGGTGGTGGTGGTGGTGGTGGTGGCTGGTGGTGGTGGTGGTAGCTTTGTGGTGGTGGTGGCTGGTGGTGGTGGTGGTGGTGGTGGTGGTGGTGGTGGTGGTGGTGGTGGCTGGTGGTGGTGGTGGGTTGGTGGTGGTAGCTTTGTGGTGGTGGTGGTGGTGGCTGGTGGTGGTGGTGGTGGTGGTGGCTGGTGGTGGTGGTGGTGGCTTTGTGGTGGTGGTGGTGGTGGCTGGTGGTGGTGGTGGTGATGGCTTTGTGGTGGTGGTGGTGGTGGTGGTGGTGGTGGTGGCTGGTGGTGGTGGTGGTGGTGGTGGTGGTGGTGGTGGTGATGGCTGGTGGTGGTGGTGGCTGGTGGTGGTGGTGGTGGGCTGGTGGTGGTGGCTGGTGGTGGTGGTGGTGGTGGTGGTGGCTGGTGGTGGTGGTGGTGGTGGCTTTGTGGTGGTGGTGGTGGTGGTGGTGGTGGTGGTGGTGGTGGTGGTGGCTGGTGGTGGTGGCTGGTGGTGGTGGTGGTGGTGGTGGCTGTGGTGATGGCTTTGTGGTGGTGGTGGTGGCTGGTGGTGGCTTTGTGGTGGTGGTGATGGCTGGTGGTGGTGGGTGGTGGTGATGGCTTTGTGGTGGTGGTGGTGGTGATGGCTTTGTGGTGGTGGTGGTGGCTTTTGGTGGTGGTGGTGGTGGTGGCTTTGTGGTGGTGGTGGTGGCTGGTGGTGGTGGTGGTGGTGATGGCTTTGTGGTGGTGGTGGTGGTGATGGCTGGTGGTGGTGGTGGTGGTGGTGATGGCTGGTGGTGGTGGTGGTGGTGGTGGTGGCTGGTGGTGGTGGTGGTGGTGGGCTTTGGTGGTGGTGGTGATGGCTGATGGCTGGGTGGTGGTGATGGCTTGGTGGTGGTGGTGATGGCTTTGTGGTGGTGGTGGTGATGGCTTTGTGGTGGTGGTGGTGATGGCTTTGTGGTGGTGGTGGTGGTTGGCTTTGTGGTGGTGGTGGTGGTGGCTGGTGTGGTGGTGGTGGTGGTGGTGGTGTGGCTGGTGGTGGTGGTGGCTGGTGGTGGCTGGTGGTGGTGGCTGATGGCTGGTGGTGTGGTGGTGGTGGTGATGGCTTTGTGGTGGTGGTGGTGGTGGGCTGGTGGTGGTGGTGGTGGTGGTGGTGGCTTTGTGGTGGTGGTGGTGGTGGTGGCTTTGTGGTGGTGGTGGTGGTGGTGGTGGTGGTGGCTGGTGGTGGTGGTGGTGGTGGTGGTGGCTTTTGTGGTGGTGGTGGTGATGTGGTGGTGGTGGTGGTGGTGGTGGTGGCTTTGTGGTGGTGGTGGTGGTGGCTGGTGGTGGTGGTGGTGGTGGTGATGGCTTTGTGGTGGTGGTGGTGGTGGTGATGGCTTTGTGGTGGTGGTGGTGGTGATGGCTTTGTGGTGGTGGTGGTGGTGATGGCTGGTGGTGGTGGTGGTGGCTTTGTGGTGGTGGTGGTGGTGGTGATGGCTTTGTGGTGGTGGTGGTGGTGGTGGTGGCTGGTGGTGGTGGTGGTGGTGGCTTTGTGGTGGTGGTGGTGGTGATGGCTTTGGTGGTGGTGGTGATGGCTTTGTGGTGGTGGTGGTGGTGATGGCTGGGCTTTGTGGTGGTGGTGGTGGTGATGGCTGGGTGGTGGTGGTGGTGATGGCTTTGTGGTGGTGGTGGCTGGTGATGGTGGTGATGGCTGGTGGTGGTGGTGGGCTTTGTGGTGGTGGTGGTGATGGCTTTGTGGTGGTGGTGGTGGTGGTGGTGGCTTTGTGGTGGTGGTGGTGGTGCTGGCTGGTGGTGGTGGTGGTGATGGCTTTGTGGTGGTGGTGGTGGTTGTGGTAGCTTTGTGGTGGTGGTGGTGTGGCTGGTGGCTTTGGTGGTGGTGGTGGTGGTGGTAGCTTTGTGGTGGTGGTGGTGGTGGCTTTGTGGTGGTGGTGGTGATGGCTTTGTGGTGGTGGTGGTGTGGTGGTGGTGGTGGTGGTGGTAGCTTTGTGGTGGTGGTGGTGGTGATGGCTTTGTGGTGGTGGTGGTGGTGGTGGTGGTGGTGGTGGTGGTGGTAGCTTTGTGGTGGTGGTGGTGGTGGTGGTGGTGGTGGTGGTGGTGGTGGCTGGGTGGTGGTGGTGATGGCTTTGGGTGGTGGTGGTGGTGATGGCTGGTGGTGGTGGTGGTGGTGGTGGTGGTGGTGGTGCTTTGTGGTGGTGGTGGTGATGGCTTGTGGTGGTGGTGGTGATGGCTTTGTGGTGGTGGTGGTGATGGCTTGGTGGTGGTGGTGGTGGTGGCTGTGGTGGTGGTGGTGGTGATGGCTTTGTGGTGGTGGTGGTGGTGATGGCTGGTGGTGGTGGTGATGGCTGGTGGTGGTGGTGGTGATGGCTTTGTGGTGGTGGTGGTGGTGGCTTTGTGGTGGTGGTGGTGGCTGGTGGTGGTGGTGGTGGTGGTGGCTTTGTGGTGGTGGTGGTGGTGATGGCTTTGGTGGTGGTGGTGGTGGTGATGGTGGTGGTGGTGGTGGTGGCTGGTGGTGGTGGTGGTGGTGGTGGGCTGGTGGCTTTGTGGTGGTGGTGGTGGTGGTGGTGGTGGTGGTGTGATGGTGGCTGGTGGTGGTGGTGGTGGTGATGGCTGGTGGTGGTGGTGGTGGTGGTGGCTGGTGCTTTGTGGTGGTGGTGGTTGATGATGGCTGGTGGTGGTGGTGGTGGTGGTGATGGCTGGTGGTGGTGGTGGTGGTGATGGCTGGTGGTGGTGGTGGTGGTGATGGCTGGTGGTGGTGGTGGTGGTGATGGCTGGTGGTGGTGGTGGTGATGGCCGGTGGTGGTGGTGGTGATGGCCGGTGATGGTGGTGGTGGTGATGGCCGGTGATGGTGGTGGTGATGGCTGGTGGTGGTGGTGGTGATGGCTGGTGGTGGTGGTGATGATGGCTGGTGGTGGTGGTGGTGATGGCTGGTGGTGGTGGTGGTGGTGATGGCTGGTGGTGGTGGTGGTGGTGATGGCTGGTGGTGGTGGTGGTGATGGCTGGTGGTGGTGGTGATGATGATGGTTGGTGGTGGTGGTGGTGGTGATGGCTGGTGGTGGTGGTGGTGGTGGTGGTGGTGGTGATGGCTGGTGATGGTGGTGGTGATGGCCGGTGGTGGTGGTGATCGCCGGTGATGGTGGTGGTGGTGGTGATGGCTGGGGGTGGTGGTGGTGGTGGTGGTGATGGCTGGTGGTGGTGGTGGTGATGGCCGGTGATGGTGGTGGTGGTGATCGCCGGTGATGGTGGTGGTGGTGGTGATGGCTGGGGGTGGTGGTGGTGGTGGTGGTGGTGGTGATGGCTGGTGGTGGTGGTGATGATGGCTGGTGGTGGTGGTGATGATGGCTGGTGGTGGTGGTGGTGGTCAACCTTCTTCATACCCACACCTAGGAGGGGGGGGGGTGCCTACGATGGTTTCGAAGGTGGTTTCTGTTTACTGGAAGTCTTCCAGAAGTGTCCGAGACTACACAAATCAAACATGACGGCTCACATATGGGGTACACATCGAGAGGGGTACACATCGAGAGGGGTATACATCGAGAGGGGTACACATCGAGAGGGGTACACATCGAGAGGGGTACACATCGAGAGGGTACACATCGAGAGGGGTACACATCGAGAGGGGTACACATCGAGAGGGGTACACATCGAGAGGGGTACCCATCGAGAGGGGTACACATCGAGAGGGGTACACATCGAGAGGGGTATACATCGAGAGGGGTATACATCGAGAGAGGTCTCCAAAACCCACACCAAGGAAAATGTCAAGGAAGAAACTGAGAGATAGAGTGCAAGAACAAAACACAAATAGACTCAACAACACACTAACCACACTGGATTGAGGAGAGCTTGGACGTGAACGGGGCAGCGATGGAGGCATCTCCTAGCTTCACCACGGGGTTATTCTCTTCCTCCAGTTCCTGAAGAAGTTTCTGCAGCTGGGCATGTGTTTTCATCATTTGCTCCTGTCAACAAAATGAAACTGTAGAGAGATTTGCATGGTATTACAGACTGCGGATTTCGTGGCACACAGGCAAGTAGCTTTATACAAAGTTTGAAGTGCATCGGTGAATTTCGTGCACGTGTGTGTGTGTGTTTATCGTGGATTAATGTTAATTCCTGTGTCTACCATACTTTTAAATATGTAACAATTTTCCACACACCCCAATTTTCACTTACAGAAACTAATTTTCATTCACACATAAAAACTGAATTTAAGTACAGTAAGTGTTTAAAATAATTTTGACGGAAATTCAAATTCCACACAAGTTGAGGCCAGGTTATACTTTTATATTGCCAACACACAAACTGTACGTGTTATACTTGAACTGTGTATCGTGGCAACTGTGTGCTGTATTCTTAGGCCGCAAGCTTAAAAGGGCTTAAAATTGAGACCCCCAAAATAATATAAGAGAATAAAGCCTCTCACACCTCCGAACAGGAAGACGTGAGGACTGAAACTCCCAGAAGAATGATAAACCCCTTGGTAACCCCAAAAGGTACCCAAAAGTCAACCCAAGGGTTGAACCCTAATCCAAGACATAGAGGGAAGGTTACAACCCCTTCCCAACCCTGCAGGATAAGACCCTTTGTAGAAGACACTGCTCCACAAAGGCCCCAACTCTGACTCCTCCCCCCACCACAAGCCCCAGAAGCAACAATCAAGGGCACTGGGCAGAGCCAATGTCCTTGCCCATCACATGGGACAGCACATCAGAATCCAGGGGAGAGGACTCTAAAGAATGGGCTGGCTGGTATGAAAACCCTGAAGCCTCGGCAGGACCAAGAGCCCCAACGGCCTCAATGCCCAATGCAGATGGGATTACCCCAAGCCATCTAAGCCCACATCCCGAACTAAACTCTGCCCCAAAGCCTTCAGATGCTTCGGGGCCAGAAAGGAGGAGGTGCAGCCGAGCCCAAGGATAAAGTGTCCCACACCTCCAATTCCAAGTCCCTAAAGACTAACTGGGGCAGCTTCGTGGCACATCCAATCAGACACACACAACCTAGATCACTGAAACCTCGAGCCATGAAAAGCAGTCGCTTCCCGAGAAACCCCGAACGTCATCAGAGCAGAGGGAAGAGATGAAATGGGAACACACACAATGCACAACCCCAAGTCGAGGGTGTCAACCGATCCAACATGACAGGGGCTGATGAAATAAACATTGTCTGGTGGCACAGATGATGTACACCCTTCAACCTCACAATGAGCGAAGGCAGAGTCGACGAGTATAACCATGTGGACTACGGAGCCGGCTAGGGGTTTCCAGGGCCCGAAAGCTTGAGCTAAATGGGAAGCCCAGGCGCTGGGATGCCATGCTGGTGCTCAGTAGTAAATCAAACTAGTTAAAATCACTTGTCTAGAACAACCTACATTGGAGATGAGGAGTCACAATAACATGGCTGAAGATGATGGCCAAACCACACATCAGAAATGGAGAAATGACAATATTTCTGTCTGTCCAGGACCATTATCAAGACACTACTTGATAATGGTCCAGGATGGACTATAATGTTATCGTTTCTCCATTTTCTGATGTGTAGTTTGATCATCAAACCTATCTCGGTGCACTGTAGTGCAGCATGCTTGATACCTGCTTGATGGGATCTGGGAGTTGTTCTACTCCCCAAGCCCGGCCCGAAGCCAGGCTCGACTTGTGAGAGCTTGGTCCACCAGGCTGTTGCTTGGAGCGGCCCGCAGGCCCACATACCCACCACAGCCCGGTTGGTCCGGCACTTCTCTTAGAAAACAGTCCAGTTTCCTCTTGAAGATGTCCACGGTTGTTCCGGCAATATATCTTATATTGAGTACCCAATGATGCCCCACCTGGATCTGGATTGTACCTGGATGGGGTTCTGGGAGTTCTATACTCGCAAAGCCCAGCCTGAGGCCAGGCTTGACTTATGAGAGCTTGGTCCAACAGGCTGTTGCTTGGAGCGGCCCGCAGGCCAAATGCCCATACCCACTACAGTCCAGTGGATATGTAGACCACTAAGGCAATAACCCATGAAAAAAGCATGCGGCAGCCCGATGCATCAGAGGAGAACTGATGATGATACTAGTGACCACCTGCAATCTGGTGTGTCTGAATCTGGGCCCAAACTGAGGCTCGCAGCCTGCGAGCCGTGGACTAACCCTTCCCCCCCCCAAACTAGTTGGGGGGGTAAATGACTGAGCTGGATCAAAACGTTTTTGGTTTTTATCTACTTTGGGGGAGTTTTATGGCAATTTTCAAGTCTGCAGGTATAGGAAGTAGTCGGCTGTGGTGTGTTTTGTTTCGCTGACTTTCTGGGTGTCTTGTCTGGTGGTGGCGTATGTAAGAAGAAAAATGCTACCGCTCCCTGCGACATTACACACATAGGAAATGTTAGCTACAAGGGGCTCCCCCAGAAAGGGCCCATATTTTACTCAACAAAATCCTCTATAGCTGGAACTAAAACAGAGAATTTGGTTTTAAATATGCACAGTAGCTCTTCCAAGGCCACAGCTAGGTAGGTCAGGTTATCTCTTGTTATCTTGAGATGATTTCAGGGATTTTTAGTGTCCCCGCGGCCCGGTCTTCGACCAGGCCTCCACCCCCAGGAAGCAGCCCGTGACAGCTGACTAACACCCAGGTACCTATTTTACTGCTAGGTAACAGGGGCATAGGGTGAAAGAAACTCTGCCCATTGTTTCTCGCCGGCGCCTGGGATCGAACCCAGGACCACAGGATCACAAGTCCAGCGTGCTGGTCGCTCGGACGACCGGCTCCCCGACAGCTATTTCTTGTAATGTTGCCTTCATCTATCAACTTAGTCCCAACATCCTAAACAAGTCCACACATCCTCCGCTTCAGCAAACTTTTGTGCGTTGAATTGGGCGAGTAAATCCGGCAGGTGTTCCAACGGAGATTCGTTGAATCAAGGTTTCACTATTTAGTGCTCAAGACCAATGCACAACAAAAGTCACAATAACACAATTGTACAGCCTCAAGATATACATACAGTATAATGTTACGGGTCAACTTACCTGCTGAGGAGTTAATCTTGGTTGGTTAGGACCAGGTGGAGCAGGAATTTGACCCTTATGCTTTTCCACTCTCCTAGCCAACTTTTTAGCATTTTCTAGCTTTTCTGACATGGCCGGCGTCATGTTATTGCCTGCGTCGTCGCTGCGTTTCTTCTTCTGGGGCGGTCGATCTGGTGCATTTGAAAGAATGGCCACACCTTGGGAACAAATGAACACTTGGTCAGTAAAGTCTATCATCATCATCACTACCCAACCATTTCCCACTTTCATCAGGTGGGGGGAGACAAAACAAGGTCAAGTAAGTTTATTGCGACAAGGAAAAAAAATACATCTCAAAGGGAGACAGTAGCTTAGGCTATTTCTACCAAACTTGGAGCAGAATAGAGAAAAGTCTACAGAAGCACTTGCCCCACACACACGCAACACAGCATACAGAGGAACACGTGCCACTATGAACCAATAACTTGCCTACAACAGCACGCCTCTGCTTCCTAAGCAGAGCGGGTGCTTCCTTCCTTCCCAACCCCTTCATTAACCCTTAAAGTGCGCATCACGTCATATGACGTGTTGGACGTTGTTCCAGTCAACTGCCCATCACGTCATATGACGTGTTGGAGTACTACGCAAGATTTAAACGGCCCGCGGATACACGGGGTTCACCACACCTTCATCAAGGCTCTTGTAAACAGACGCCATTTTTTTTTTAAATCGTGGGCCAAACTCCCGGGTGTTATTGGCCTCAGTATTGAGTGAGCAACAAAGCCTGATGCACGCAGCATGAGCTAACAGCACTGCTGTTCAGCTTGTGACCACAGCATCGCCTAAAAATGCCAAAACATACTTGTTCATGCTATTATGTAGCGATGATATTATTACAGAAGACCCCTGACTGTGATAAAACTGACCAGGGTTCTGATAATAGCAGGATTGTGGTGATATTTAGTGCTGTGCGCCATGGAGCGAGGAGTAATGCTGTGGGAGGGAGGGGTGGTGGCGATGTCTTCTGACTGTGTGTGGCCACCTTTTATTGACTGCACTCACCATACCAGCTTAGTGGTTCGCTATGGTGAACACAAATGTAGATACTTACATATAATGTGTGTATAGAGAATATAAACAGCAAGAGAAGGTTGGGAGCCACCATTTTGGTGAGGGCGGTGGCGTCGTCTGCACGACACCACCGTGCAGACGACAGTGTTGTTTACTGGTTACCACGATGGTCTTTGGGCACCATACCGGTTTATTTGTACACGTATGGTGAATAAAACAGGTAGATATTTATATATAATGTGTGTATATAGCGTAATAACACCACACAGTATTGTTGGAGGAGAAATATTAGTGCGTCTGGCCTTGAGGGCGGCAGCCATCAGCTGACTGTGTGAGGTCCTACGTCTTTGTGCCTTTACTCACCATACAAGCTTAGATGTACAGTTATGGTGAACAAAACATGTAGATACTTATATATAACGTCTGTATATAGTGAATTATAGCAAAAACAGTATTGTGGGAGGAGAATGTGAGTGAGTCAGATGACTTGAGGGAGGGCGGTAGTGGCTGGCTGGTACACGGCGGTCACTCCTCGTTACTTTTTGACTTATAATAGCTACTTAGTGGTTCATTATAGTGAACAAAACATGCAGATACTTATATATAACCTGTGCTTATAATGTAATAACCGACGAAGTATTTGTTCACTGATTGATGAACATAATTGAATCAACAATATGCACACCATATTTTTGAGTACAGCGATGATTCACTCATTTTATTATATAAATATATCAAACTACACACTATTGAATATTACAGCAAAAAAACTATGAAAAATCAGAGACATTGATATAATTAGGTAATTATCTCTTTGTGGCAACTCCGGCCTGACAGCTGGCAAGCAACAGATCGCCTGGGATGCATGCTGAGTCAGCGCCTATTTTTTGCCAGATTTCCCTGCCCTATAGCGGGCAATATATGCCACTTACGATTTTTTTTATTATTTTTTCCGTGATCAGTGAACACAAATTAACATGTTAGGAAGAAAAAATATTTTTTTTTTTCAAAATTACATGCGCCTGTGGGGAAGAAAGGATATTATACCCCTAGCATGTTAAGGGTTAACCTCAGCATACAGTGCTCCTACCCCCCCCCCCCTCCCACATCGTAAGACTGGATACACAGTGTGTTACCGTCTTGTACCCCCATACACAATGGCTCGTGATCACCACTCTCTTGCACCCACATATACTGCGCTCTCCAACTTCACAACTGAATTTTAATTATATCAATGGTGAAATATTAAGAAACTGTTCATGACTTTTGTGAGACCAAAATTGGAATATGCAGCAGTTGTGTGGTGCCCATATCTCAAGAAGCACATTAATACACTGGAAAAGGTGCAAAGGCATGCTACAAAATGGCTTCCAGATCGGAAAACTAGTTATGAAGAGAGGTTAGAAACATTAATATGCCAAAGCTAGAGGATGGAAGAAAGAGGCAATATGATCACCACTTGCAAAATAATGCAAATTGATCAAATTAACAAAGGAATTCCTGAACCTGGCAACCACAAGAATAAGAGGACAGATTTAAGCTAAGGAAACTAAAGCGCCAAAAAGATTATAAAGTTTTCTTTTGCAAACTGAGTGATAAACAATTGGAACAAGAGAGAAGGTAGTGGAAGCCATAACTGTCCATAGTTTCAAAGTGTAACATGACAAAGAGTACTGGGAAGACGGGACACCACGAGCGTAGCTCTCATCCTGTAACTACACTTAGGTAAGAACCCTCATGTAATTGCACACACGCACACAAAATAGTAAAAGGAATCTACCAAATTGACAGAGGAATTCCGTAAACGGCAACTTCAAGAACAAGAGGTCATCGATGCAAACTAAGGAAACAATAGTGCCGACAAGTATTAGAAAGTCCTCTATTACCAATAGATGTGGCAGACAGCTGGAACCAGTCAAGTCAGCAGGAAGTAGATTCCAAAACTAAGATTGACCCACCAGCATCATTTGACAATGCTGATAAGATGGAACACCACAAATATAGCTCTCATTCTGTAACTACACTTGAGTAATTATACAAAAAAAAAAAAAAAAAAAAGTTGAATGTAATGAAACTCCTCTTTCTGGTTGGGCCTCGGCGCCTACCTGTAACTAGCTGCCTCGTGATATACCTTAAGACAATTGACCCCATGATGAATATGACATCCTAAGATGCTACACGTACTTTGAAACATTTGAAGCTCCTGCTGGGACACGGTGGTCCCAATCAGTATTTGGGACATTAGTAAACATCTGCCACCTGGGAAAAGTGACTTACAATTTCTGGGCTATTTTTCCTATGCTCAGGACACAGCTTTTCACGACAGACGAAGACATAAAATTGGTTTTGAATGAATTTACTTTTTTTTTTATGCACAAAAGGTAATAATTGATTTATCCTATGAACTTTCAAGGGTTAATTAACTAAGCTTTAAACTCTTGTGTTGGTATGTTGCCCAGTATATAAAATGATAAGTTTCATTTTCTGGGAAGGAAAGTTTATACAGTACTTGGGTTTATCGAGACCTTTCCCCAGGATCTAGCCCACAACAGTTGCCCAATGCTAGGGTACCTTGCCATAATTTTCAGGGCTCGACGTCCCCGTGGCCTGGTCCTCGACCAGGTCACCAGGGGGGGTATATATAAACAGTATCCCATTTCCCATTTATGAGGGCTGGGGATGCATCAGATTGGAGAAAAGGGGGATGGGGGAGGGAGGGGGGGTGGAATAATACACAGTCCTGAAGAGAAATATGATTATGTACGTTTAAAAATAAGATGAGGCTATTTTTACCGTTATTGCAAAGAGATTTGGTAAAGATGAATTCCCAGCCTAATTCTCCCAACCAATATTATGCAGGCAATGTGAGGCCAATTGCTATGCAGTGCGGCGGTGTGTGTGTGTGTGTAGGGGGGGGGGGGTTGTAGATTGTCATCGTATCACATTAATATTAAACGAGAGATTAATCTGCTTACCACAGTGAGCATGTTTCAGAGCACCCACATCGTTTGTCCCATCTCCACACATCAGTGTTGTGAAGCCTAAACTTTTATATGCCGTTATCACAAATTCCTTCTGTTTGGGGGCCACGCGTGCAAATACCCGCACGTGAGGAAGGATGCTCCAGAAGAAGTGGGTGTGGTGGTCTTTCAACCATGTGAGGCCCTGGTAACAGAAATTAAGTTGTCTATTAGCAGCAATCTACGTATATGTGCCGATATTGTAATGTTTACATGTTCATAGGACAATTTCCACTTGTTTATCTGTGAACCAATACAGTATATATATAGTTCGTATGCCTCAGACTTGAATGGTTCCTATACTTATATTCTCTGTACTTTTGTATGCATGCTCAGTACAGCATTTTTTTTTTAATTTCCTCTACTTAAAACCAGGAATTGCACATATATTTTTAGAGAGAGTGGGGGCTGACATCAATGGTAAAAATGATCTACTCATTTCTGCTAAATCAAACAGTGTTTTAAGCATGTAATAATCCGCCTACTGTTATTGCTGACTTGTTACATACAGTGACATGACCCCAAGTGACCCAAGACACGATTCATCTATGAAGCTGTACAAAGGTATCAACCCCCACAGTGCGTGTGCCTGGCGAGTCAAGACGACGCAGCTTTGATCCAAATGTGCGGTCTCAAGATTTATTATTTATTATATACAACATGTCATTTGTCCACATAATCCCACTCAATGACACCAGGCAGAAACAGCCTAGAAAGATTGACTATCACGCTAATTACATGTCAAGTACCAGTATCAAGTATGGTACTAGCCAAGTATCACTGCTACACGTCAAACATCTCGAGTGACAGTTGCCGTTACGGGGAAACATTTTCCTCCACCAAATCACCATTCATCATACCTCAATTTAAGCTCATTGTTAGTTAAACTACAAGAGACTTAAACACCCCAATCCTTACCTCTCCTGTCACACAGAAGTCGTACGTGTTGAAGAACTCGTCGAGAGCGTTCTTTCGGGGCACCACATTCATCTTGATGACCTCGTCGATGCTCTCCCACCCCCAGTTTCCTTCACCATAGTCCTGTCCAAAAACAAAAATAAAGACAAATTTTTAATAAATGTGGTAATCAGAATATTCTCTCGTTTAGTAATAACGCAATATGATGACCCCCCCCACCAAGACAGGACTGCCACTGCGACGTGAATCCACATTGGACAAACGTACATATCAACGAACGGTATGTTACAAACGCCAAAATTTCAGTATTTATAGCAACTATTGGTTGAATGTATGAAAACGGACTATTGTACCAAAAAACAACAAGTTATGGAACTTCCATTTTTCACAAACCAATCATATTTTTTTAATGAATTGGTCGATTGTTAAAGAAAATGTGACATCATGCAAGAGAGAGAAAGGGTTGTAACCCCTCCTCGTACACTCACCTGCAAAATAAGTGTGGCCGGTTTTTGTGTAAATTTCAATTCCTTAGCAACGTGGCACGCAGTTAGGGAGTTGTCACCGGTGATCATCACGGCCTGCCAACATAACACACTTATTACACACACCATTGAAAACCTTAACATTTCTGTACCCAATTCACTCGACCCATATAAATAACTTTCTTTGCAACAATATATGATTTAACTACATTAGATCATTCCCCCCCCCAAACAAACAAAATTTGATTTAGCTGAAACCAGGAAGTATTATTAATTCTGTATTCTGATTTAGACTACTCCACTTCCAATGAAAGCTAGAGAACAAATAAACAACACAATTTAGTAAATAAAGTACCTAATTCCAAATTAGGTACTAGTTCCAAACTAGGTACTTAAAGGTACTAAAGGGCTATTTATTGCCTGGGCTAAAGGGATCTTTATTACTTGGGCTAAATGGCTATTTATTGCCTAGGTTTTATATGTGGCTATTAATCTTTGTAGCCTGCAGGATCTCACAGCCATCACAGTCAGGCTGATCCAATATCTCCAGCCAAAATGTGTTACACAAAAATGATGTTGCTTTAGAGTACAGTACTATACTGTCGACGCTCTGGAATTCAAATATCAATGCCCCCCCCCCCCCCCCCAATCGAAGTTAGCCGGACATTGAACTTTCTTACCAACAAAGTCAAAATATTAATATGTTTGCAGTTTTTTTTGTATCGCCCAACATCACTCGTACCTCTCCACATGCAACACACTCGTAATGTACCTAGTTACTTCTACCATTAACTTGAAAATGATCAACATTGACTCATCGAGGTTACTCGGAGATTCAGGCTATGGGAATTTGAAACTAAGTTCTTACAGTATTGGGACCTAATACCATATCTGTACAAGTCCGCCCAAACACTTGGGCTGGACAGTAGAGCAATGCTCTCACTTCATGCAGGTCGCGATCAATCCCCCAACCGTCCACCAAGTAGTTGGGCACCATTCCCACCCGGTCCCAAATCCTTATCATGATCCCTTCCAGGTGCTATATAGTTAGCACACTTGGAAAGATAGGTGCTGCGAAAGGGCTGGAACCAATCGTATTGGCGTTTGGCTTTCCATTGGAGACTTTTGGCGCCGTGGAGAGAGAGGGACCTGCTGCTTGGGTAACAGCTTCTTCCCCGTATCAACCTACCCAGGCTTTGCTCCCTAGAGAGGTCACTCCAGACCCACAACCAGAGCAAAACTTCATAGTCTCCCGAGACTAATAGATGCCTACTACTATAGTCGTAATAGCCTGGCACTTTCCCGATAATTCCTTCCCCTTCCCTAGTACAAGTACTTACGGCATGTGAGCTTTGCAGCACCTCTCTGATGACCTCCTTGGAATCCCGCTTGAGGGGACACGAGATGATGATGAAGCCAGCGAAGGCCAGATTACATTCCAGCCTCTCTCGGGTTGTCTCGCGCACCTGCAAATGACGTAAACCCACAGTCAAGGTATCCCTCTCCTGCTGAAGTTTACATTTCAGCTTTAAGCCATTACAAGTGATCAGGAACAACGACCTACAAAGGCCATCTCCTTCAGCTAAAACAACCTAACCTCCAAAAATAACAGTACTGTACTTAGAGCAACTATTTGGTCAAACATTTTGGTCCTAGGCCTAAATAAGCAATCTTAGGTCTAACATATGCTATCTGTGGCCTAATTTGATACGCACACACGTGTTATATACTTGACCTAGACACTTCCCTGTTTTTTGGTGCACGTTCTACAAAATTAATACAATACTGTAGTACTTAAAGTGATCTGCATTTGCTGCAAGTGTCCGTTTCTGTATGTTCGACCGACAATGCTTGCTATGAACACTATCACTCCTGAAACTCTCTATCCAAGTGCTATCTTCTTGAGGTTATCTTGAGATGATTTCGGGGCTTTTTAGTGTCCCCGCGGCCCGGTCCTCGACCAGGCCTCCACCCCCAGGAAGCAGCCCGTGACAGCTGACTAACTCCTGAGTACCTATTTACTGCTAGGTAACAGGGCATTCAGGGTGAAAGAAACTTTGCCCACTGCCTCGTGCGGGAATCGAACCCGAGCCACAGAATTACTCCTGCGCGCTATCCACCAGTGCCCCACCACGTGCTAGTAGAATTTCCATAATGGCTTGGTGCTTTCTCCTGACAATCACCTTACCTTGCCTTTGGGAGGATGGGTCACACTAACGATGTCGAGTTTGGGGGTCTGCTGTGATCAGAAAAAAGTAGGGGTAACGGGAGAGACATTCAACTCACTCAGAACGGGGCAAGGGCAGGGTGTACTCTGCCTGTGTCTGCCTGCCTGTGGGTCATGGCCTCCTTGGAATCCCACAAATTCCCATGCGAATTTGTTCATTGACATTTCTCGTTGTGATTTCTTTGTGTATTGAATGAAGTACAATATTCAGGATTGAAATCAGAGATAGAACTATTTGGTTGACAGAGCCCGAGTGCATGGAGGGGGGGGGGGGGAATTGTGTGTAACCCCGGTTAGGCTTCAGTGGAAGCCTCGGGATCCTTGTCGGGGTAGTAGCACTCTGGGTTGCAATTCTTATACCGTGTCGTGGTACAGTTGACCAGAGCGCGTCTGGGAACATCCAACACATAGGTTCGAACCCTCATCAAGAGTCCTTGTGAATTGCATCGTTTATGGTGTTATAATATACGTTTAACTATTTTAAATGTAGATGCCAGACACTACTGTACGTATTAACTTTCAGCAAAATATGGCCACCATATTGTAGACAATTTGGAGGAAACTAAGATTGGACTGATATAGGACAGGGAAAATATTGGACAGAAAGAAGGAGAGAGATTTGAACTGACAGACAGGAAAAAGACGATTCTCCTCCAAATGCAAAAATCCCTCCTGAACCGAGGAGAAGATTTCTCAAAGTTTGGTACAGAGATGCCGCCCACAGTACTTACCTCAGCATGTGACAGTTTGCCAAGTTCTTTCCTTCCAAGAGCCAAGACTCTTGCTCCACGCCGGGACAGTTTAAGATACACGTTATCGTAGTTTGGCGGCAGGGAAGAAAACTGCAAAATGGAAGCATATAAATGTAAAAAAACAAAATCTCAGAACACAAGGCACTAATTAAAAACAAAAATAAATGTTTTGAATTGTGAAACTTCTCTTGTAATCAACTGTAAAATTTGCGTTTCCTTCTTAATTAACCCTTTAAGTGCGCTCCACATCATATGATGTGTTCAGTGACTTGCTGTAACTGATGTGTTCAGTGACTTGCAGTAACTTGCACTACACATCATATGATGTGTTCAGTGACTGCAGTAACTTGCGCTACACATCATATGATGTGTTCAGTGACTGCAGTAACTTGCGCTACACATCATATGATGTGTTCAGTGACTTGCAGTAACTTGCGCTACACATCATATGATGTGTTCAGTGACTGCAGTAACTTGCGCTACACATCATATGATGTGTTCAGTGACTTGCAGTAACTTGCGCTACACATCATATGATGTGTTCAGTGACTTGCAGTAACTTGCGCTACACATCATATGATGTGTTCAGTGACTTGCAGTAACTTGCGCTACACATCATATGATGTGTTCAGTGACTTGCAGTAACTTGCGCTACACATCATATGATGTGTTCAGTGACTTGCAGTAACTTGCGCTACACATCATATGTGTTCAGTGACTGCAGTAACTTGCGCTACACATCATATGATGTGTTCAGTGACTTGCAGTAACTTGCGCTACACATCATATGATGTGTTCAGTGACTTGCAGTAACTTGCGCTACACATCATATGATGTGTTCAGTGACTTGCAGTAACTTGCGCTACACATCATATGATGTGTTCAGTGACTTGCAGTAACTTGCGCTACACATCATATGATGTGTTCAGTGACTTGCAGTAACTTACGCTACACATCATATGATGTGTTCAGTGACTGCAGTAACTTGCGCTACACATCATATGATGTGTTCAGTGACTTGCAGTAACTTGCGCTACACATCATATGATGTGTTCAGTGACTTGCAGTAACTTGCGCTACACATCATATGATGTGTTCAGTGACTTGCAGTAACTTGCGCTACACATCATATGATGTGTTCAGTGACTTGCAGTAACTTGCGCTACACATCATATGATGTGTTCAGTGACTTGCAGTAACTTGCGCTACACATCATATGATGTGTTCAGTGACTTGCAGTAACTTGCGCTACACATCATATGATGTGTTCAGTGACTCGCAGTAACTTGCGCTACACATCATATGACGCATTGGAGTACTACGCAAAATTTAAACAGCCCGCGGACACACGGGGTTCACCACACCTTCATCAGGGCTCTTGTAAACAGACCCCATTTTTTTTTTTTAAATCGTGGGCCAAATTCCCGGGTATGAGGGACCTCAGTATTGAATGAGCTACCAAGCCTGACACACGCAGCATGAGCTCACAGCACTGCTGTTCAGCTTGTGACCACAGCATCGCCTAATATACATGTTCATAATATACCATAATATACATGTTCATGCTATTATTTAGCGATATTACAGAAGACCCCTGACTGATAAAAATGACCAGGATTCTGATAATAGCAGGATTGTTGTGATAATTAGTGCTGTAGTGGGAGGAGTAATCTTGGTGGGGAGGGAGATAGCACTGTCTGCTGACTGTGTGCGACCACCTTTTACTGTCTGGACTCACTATACCAGCTTAGTTGTTCGCTATGGTAAACAAAACATGCAGATACTTATATAATGTCTGTATATAAAAGCAAAAACAGTATGATGGGAGGAGAATGGTGGCGAGTCAGGTGAGGTGAGGGAGGGAGGGAGTGGTAGGCAGTGGCGGGCTGCCACTGCCACTCAGCATACCAACTTAGTGGTTCGTTATTGTGAACATGAATGTAGATACTTATATATAACGTCTGTATATAGTGAATAAAAGCAAAAACAGTATTGTGGGAGGAGAATGTGGGCGAGTGAGGTGTTAAGGGAGTGAGTGGCAGCGAGTGGCTGGATGGTGTGTGGCGGGCACTCCTTGTTACTTTTTGACTCGTAATAGCAACTTAGTGGTTCGTTATGGCGAACAAAACATGCAGATACTTATATATAACCTGTGTATATAGTGTAATAACCGACAAAGTATTTGTTCACTGCTTGATGAACATAATAATTGAATCAACCATATGCACACCATATTTTTGAGTACAGCAATGATTCACTCATTTTATTATATAAATATATCACACTACACATTATTGAATAATATTACAGCAAAAAAACTACGAAAAATCAATCAGAGACATTGAAATAATTAGGTAATTATCTCTTTGTGGCAACTCTGGCCTGACAGCTGGCGAGCAACAGACCGACTGGGACGCACGCTGAGTCAGCGCCTGTTTTTTGCCAGACTTCCCCGCCCTATAGCGGGCAATATATGCCACTTACGATTTTTGTTATTTTTCCCATGATCAGAGAACAGAAATTTGATCAGAGAACACAAATTAACAGGTTTAGAAGAAAAACAATTTTTTTTTTTTTTTTTTGGTATGCACCTGTGGGTGACAAATGCTAAATAGCCCGGAGCCACTCAAGGGTTAATTAACCCAACCACTTGGGCTGGACAGTAGAGCGATGGTCTCGCTTCATGCAGGTCAATGCTCAATCCCCAACAGTCCAAGTGGTTGACCACCATTCCTTCCCTACCCCGTCCCATCCCAAATCCTTATCCTGACCCCTTCCCAGTGCTATATAGTTGTAATGCCTTCATGTTGCTTTCCCTTGACAATTCCCTTCCCTTCTTTCTTAATCTCTCAAAATGCATGTAAACCAAAATTTAAACAAATTACTTAAAAAAAATGCACTTGTACTGCAGTTAAACTTGAAAGAATAAACAATAACAATCCTAACACAAAAGACTTATCTACACAACAATGAAGCAATTGCTCAAGTTCAACTGCGCCTGATCAAACTTCGCTCTGTGTCTTATGCTTGCAAAACTTACGCGTGCAACCTTGTAATCTCACTGATGCATGCACCATTGGCAACAACAAGTCTTCATTGTGTTTCTGCTGCTGTGTAGTTAGGATAATAAGAGATGTGAATCACTTTGAAACACTGTGAACACCGGCAGTGGGAAAAGGGGGGGGAGGGCATACTGTGAACATCTGGGAGGAAGGTGGGGGGAGAGAGGACCAATTTTGAAAAACATACTGTGAACCACTGGGATGGGGGGGGGGGGGGAACATTTATAATTGGGATACAATGTTACAAAATGACATCTATCAGAGAAAATAGACTTTACACAATAGGGAAAATAGACCTTACACAACTTACAAATTATGTGGAAAGGAATTACAGAACTCTTATAAATAAGGAGACCTAGGAGTGGTTTTGGAGAGTAAACTGTCACAAGAGGAACACACAAAGAACATTGTGAGAGGAGCATATGCGTCGCTTTCCAACTTCAGACTTGCTTTAAATTATATGGTGGTGAAATACTAAAGAAACTGTTCATGACTTCTGTGAGACCAAAATTGGAATATTCAGCAGTTGTATGGTGCCCAAATCTCAAGAAGTACATAAATAAACTGGGAAAGATAAAACGCCATACTACAATATAGCTTCCGGAACTAAAAACAGAGTTACAAGGAAAGACTAGAGGCGATAAACATGCAAAAACTAGGAGAGGTGATATGATCGCCATTTACAAAATACTAACATAAATAGACCAAATTGACAAAGAGGAATTCCTGAAACCAGCAACTTCATGAACAAAAGGACACAGATTTAAGCTAAGGAAACAAAGCTGCCAAAAAAAAACATGAGTTTTCTTTCACAGAGAGGTAGATGGTATGAACAAGCTACGTGAGAAGGCAGAGGCCAAAACCGTCAGTAGTTTAGAGCATTATACAACGAAGAGTACTGGGAAAACGGGACACCATGAGTGTAGCTCTCATCCTGTAACTTCACTTGGGTAATTCCAGACCCACCCCCACACGTTTCACAATTCTCAAAGAAATTGACAGGATATATAAAGATAAACTGTTTAACACTGGTGGGACGCGAACAAGGGGACACAGGTGGCAACCGAGTACCCAAATGAGCCACAGGGACGTTTGAAAGAACTTTTTCAGTGTCAGAGTAGTTAACGGATGGAATGCATTAGGCAGTGATGAACTCACCTAGTTGTGCTTACAGGAGGTAGAGCTCTGGCTCTTTCGTCCCGCCTCTCAACTATCAATCAACTAGATTCCTGAGCCTACTGGGCTCTATCATACCTACATTTGAAACTGTGTATGGAGTCAGCCTCCACCACATCACTGCCTAATGCATTCCACCTGTTAACTGCTCTGACACTGAAAAAGTTCTTTCTAATGTCCCTGTGGCTCCTTTGGGTACAGAGTTGCCACCTGTGTCCCCTTATTCACGAACCAACCGAAACTCCATACACATTTTCAAGCGTAGATATGATAGAGCCCAGCAGGCGCAAGAATCTGTACACCAGTTTATTGACAGTCAAAAGGCAGGACCATAGAGCCAGAGCTCAACCCTTGCAAGCACAACTAGGCAAGTACACACAACCCATGGAGACTCACCATAGGCCTGAGAGTTTCTGGTGCACCCTTGACAGTCGCCAAATACACAACGTCGGCAGATCCTGACTGGGTGTACCCGGTGATGACCGACATGCGTTTCAACTGTGAGGAGAAATGGAAACGGTGGAAGATCTTCATCCCAGGAGCCTTTCCCTTCCGTGGAATGACAGCTTCACCTGTGGGGAAAAGCATCAATGCCGAGAACAAGGCAGTGCACACAATAACATGTCTGGTAAGACAATAATAACCGTTCACAAAATGGCAAAACATCATTAAATTCCATTTCAAAAGCATATAAATCCTCATTAATCCCAATAGGATTAAACACTAACCAGTATTAATTAATCCTTGGGGAGGGGCAGAGGGAGGTGGGGGAAAACAAATTATAAATTCCTGTTAATTGCAATTTGTTTACAGCGCAGTCAACCCGCAGTCGCTGCTATTGTCGGGCAGCTCCATACCACCTATAAACAACTGCACTGCCCTTTCTATTGCCTCCTTTTCTGTTTTTGCACATAAAACAGTTTTCTGACTGTATCGTACACTTTTACTTATGTGCTGGTAAGGAGGATTAGCTCTTGGGTTTGACTTTTTCCCTCTCACCAGGGTATTCGTTCCAATACTACTCTCAATTGCTTATACTGTAATTGTAATGTCTAACTTCAAGGCCGTATATTGAAGTGGCTTCAGCTGCCACTTCTTCGAGTATATTCCTCCACCACGTGGATCAGAAACGTCTCCCCCACCTTACAGTATTTGTCTTTGTTTCATGACTTTTGGCTCCACTGTATTCTACAGTTGCATCAAATAATCAATTACTGAATGATTACATAGGGGTTACAGGCTCACCCAGGACCCTCAAGTCTCGTACTGGAGGATCTTCATGGAGATGGAAGTTGTTCTCCCTTCTTCTCACACGTTATCTTGAGGTTATCTTGAGATGATTTCGGGGCTTTTTAGTGTCCCCGCAGCCCGGTCCTCGACCAGGCCTCCACTCCCAGGAAGCAGCCCGTGACAGCTGACTAACACCCAGGTACCTATTTTACTGCTAGGTAACAGGGGCATAGGGTGAAAGAAACTCTGCCCATTGTTTCTCGCCGGCGCCTGGGATCGAACCCAGGACCACAGGACCACAAGTCCAGCGTGCTGTCCGCTCGGCCGACCGGCTCCCAGCCGCAGTAACGCTGCAGTAACAAACTGGCGGTAGTCTAGCGTCCTTTTCACCTCCATGCATCTTTCCCCTCCACGAGGGTCGTCATCCAACCATCCGTCTTCGTGGCCAACACGTACCATTTCCCAGATATGGAGAAAAATTGATATTTTCTACATGTCTGCCTCCACAAGTTACTGGTTGGGGCGTGGCTTTGATTTGTACGATTATGGGGTGAAATAGCAGCTTTTTTTTTTTTTACAGTGGTAAATAGAGAATGGACCGACTCAACCGATCAATCTCTGAACAAAGTCAAGTATCAGTAACTCTGCTGCTGATGCTCTGCTGCTCTGCTGATGCTACTGCTGTCTGCTGATTCTGCTGCTGTTTGCCAATGCTGCATGTTGACAACTTGCAGGCCTGTTCTGCATCTCATTCCCACTCTCATGCTGGTATCCTGCAGTGTCGTCAGGTTGTACAGTATACAATGACAATCCCCCCCCCCCCTCCATCTAGGACTGAAAGCCTGCACTTTGACTTATTACGGTCCCGTTCCGTCTCCCCTCCCTCCTACATCACCTAGGGCCAAGTACTGATCATCTCTAATGATGCAACCAACAACAGTTGCCTAACTCTCCAGTAACAGTTATAATGGTATGTGACCGGAGGCATCTGGGTACCTTCCCCCGGCATGCGAGCCCCACAACTGTCGCCTCAAAGTTACCTGGAGAGGGTTCTGGGAGCTCTGGCAGCTCTTCTACTCCCCGAGCCCAGCCGGGGAGCCCCAAGCTCGACGAGTGATAACTTGGTCCAACAGGTTGTTGCTTGGAACAACCCTCAGGCCCACACATCCAATAGAGCCTCGTTGGTCCGGCACCTCTGATGTTCGGACAGTGCTCTCTAATTGTGCCTATAGCACCTTTATGCCTCACTGGTTCTATTCTACATTTCCTTCTGTATCTTGGGCTCCAGTACAGAATGGTGTTATTCCCATGTGCCAATCTGGCCTTCCAGTATCTTCCATGTATTGCCTTACTCATGGGTACCAATTTTACTGCTAGGTGAACAGAGGCATCAGGTAAAAAGAAACATGTCCAACTATTTTGCTCCAGCCTGGTATTGAACTGTAATCCCTTGGTTGTTAGCCGGGGATGTAGACCACTGTGCTGCCGTTTACTCGTGCGAATCTTTTCAATAATTTAATCCTACGAGTCTTCATAACCTGCATTTTTATCTTTCACAAACTCCAATACAAACTTAACAGCCAAGGCACCTTGCCCAGCCTGTCTTCTTACATAACTTATCATATTTACACGAGAATATGATAAGACTCGATAATGGTCCAGGACGGACCGAGACATCGTCGTTTCTGCAGTTTCTGGCGTGTGGTTTGGTCATTGTATCTGCAGCCACGTTATTGTCACTCATCGTTTACAGGTTTTAATGTAAAAAAAAAAGTTAAAGTACAACATTAAAAATCAGAGCAGCTCGCAAAATGCATCCTTGGTTGGGTTTGGTTCAGTCAATATATTACCTCAATTTAGTAACCTAAATGCTAAAGAGGACAGGCTGCCCTGCCACCCCTTCATCTCAAGTGTTCCTCCTCATAACTGCCCGACAATATTGCAACATTCTTCATACCTAACAACACGGCACTGCGCTCCAGACTTGCAGAGTTTGTGCAACGGAGCCAACCCTACCTTTAGTGAGGGTCCAGTCAATGGCTGCCAGAGTGGCCTTCTCCTGCGGGTCTCCCACTAGTCCATCCTCCAGCTGAACCAGCGAGTGACACGAAGCTACAACCTGTAGGTCAACACTCATTAGTCCACCACATTTATGTGTTCAACACTCACTCACTCACTCACTTTCTCTCACACTCACTCTCTTTCTCTCACACACACTCTCTTTCTCTCACACACACTCTCTTTCTCTCACACACACTCTCTTTCCTACAACTTTGATAGTATATCTATAAAGCTACGACCAACAATGAGTAATGAACTTACAAGAACGTGATGTGTCAACGAAAATACTGAAGCTTCAATACTCCTAAAATTTACAAACAACATCAGTTTTGGTCCGTGGGAAGTGTTATTTACCAATTGCTTGTTTCTCCAAAGTACAGAAAATGGCTATTATTCCTCTCAAACTTTTCTTTGACCTTTGCCTAAGACAGCTTAGGAAAGATGTCTCGACGGTACCTGAAGGAGGCTGCCGACTTATGAAACAATGCGTCACAGCATTAACCCTTCCACTGCACGAGTCGTACAGGCATGACTGCGGCATATCCAACCAACCTGCACCAGTCATCTAGATAATGATTTAACATACTAAATAACATTTGAAACTACTACAGGTACGTGCGGGGGGGTGAAGAGGGCTCACGTCAGCTATCTCAGGCCTCCCAGTAAACAGAGGTCATTTTGTAAAAATAATCATGGAGACCCCTGCTGGATGTGCAGACCTCAACACTGTGGGAGCAGCCAAGGGAAGTATACACAGCAACAAACTAACAACGCCGCTCTTCAATTTGTGTCCACGGTATCACTTAAAAAATTACAAAATATACAAGCAATGGCTATTACTTTGCCATGATAGTATCATAGTAGATCCTGACTGTGATAAAGATGACTGTGATAAACACTACAGGTACAATTTTCTGGTATCAGTATAACACAATGATGTTTATGATGTTCACAATCTGAAGCAGATCGCCACAGCACTCTGCCACTGTGTGATGCAGACAGTCACAGCACTCTGCCACTGTGTGATGCAGACAGTCACAGCACTCTGCCACTGTGTGATGCAGACAGCTACAGCACACTGCCACTGTGTGATGCAGACAGCTATGACACACTGCCACCGTGTGATGCAGACAGCTATGACACACTGCCACTGTGTGATGCGGACAGCTATGTCACTCTGCCACTGTGTGATGCAGACAGCCACAGCACTCTGCCACTGTGTGATGCAGACAGCTATGACACACTGCCACCGTGTGATGCAGACAGCTATGACACACTGCCACTGTGTGATGCGGACAGCCATGACACACTGACACTGTGTGATGCAGACAGTCACAGCACTCTGCCACTGTGTGATGCAGACAGTCACAGCACACTGCCACTGTGTGATGCAGACAGTCACAGCACTCTGCCACTGTGTGATGCAGACAGCCATGACACACTGCCACTGTGTGATGCAGACAGTCACAGCACACTGCCACTGTGTGATGCAGACAGTCACAGCACTCTGCCACTGTGTGATGCAGACAATCACAGCACACTGCCACTGTGTGATGCAGACAGTCACAGCACTCTGCCACTGTGTGATGCAGACAGTCACAGCACACTGCCACTGTGTGATGCAGACAGCCACAGCACACTGCCACTGTGTGATGCAGACAGTCACAGCACACTGCCACTGTGTGATGCAGACAGCTACAGCACACTGCCACTGTGTGATGCAGACAGCTACAGCACACTGCCACTGTGTGATGCAGACAGTCACAGCACTCTGCCACTGTGTGATGCAGACAATCACAGCACTCTGCCACTGTGTGATGCAGACAGTCACAGCACTCTGCCACTGTGTGATGCAGACAATCACGGCACTCTGCCACTGTGTGATGCAGACAGCTATGACACACTGCCACTGTGTGATGCAGACAGTCACAGCACACTGCCACTGTGTGATGTAGACAGCCATGACACACTGCCACTGTGTGATGCAGACAGTCACAGCACTCTGCCACTGTGTGATGCAGACAATCACAGCACTCTGCCACTGTGTGATGCAGACAGCCATGACACACTGCCACTGTGTGATGCAGACAATCACAGCACACTGCCACTGTGTGATGCAGACAGCTATGACACACTGCCACTGTGTGATGCAATCACAGCACACTGCCACTGTGTGATGCAGACAGCTATGACACACTGCCACTGTGTGATGCAGACAATCACAGCACTCTGCCACTGTGTGATGCAGACAGTCACAGCACTCTGCCACTGTGTGATGCAGACAGTCACAGCACTCTGCCACTGTGTGATGCAGACAGTCACAGCACTCTGCCACTGTGTGATGCAGACAGTCACAGCACTCTGCCACTGTGTGATGCAGACAGTCACAGCACTCTGCCACTGTGTGATGCAGACAGTCACAGCACTCTGCCACTGTGTGATGCAGACAGTCACAGCACACTGCCACTGTGTGATGCAGACAGTCACAGCACTCTGCCACTGTGTGATGCAGACAGTCACAGCACACTGCCACTGTGTGATGCAGACAGTCACAGCACACTGCCACTGTGTGATGCAGACAGTCACAGCACTCTGCCACTGTGTGATGCAGACAGTCACAGCACACTGCCACTGTGTGATGCAGACAGTCACAGCACACTGCCACTGTGTGATGCAGACAGTCACAGCACACTGCCACTGTGTGATGCAGACAGTCACAGCACACTGCCACTGTGTGATGCAGACAATCACAGCACTCTGCCACTGTGTGTTGCAGACAGCTATGACACACTGCCACTGTGTGATGCAGACGGTCACAGCACACTGCCACTGTGTGATGCAGACAGTCACAGCACTCTGCCACTGTGTGATGCAGACAGTCACAGCACTCTGCCACTGTGTGATGCAGACAGTCACAGCACTCTGCCACTGTGTGATGCAGACAGTCACAGCACTCTGCCACTGTGTGATGCAGACAGCTATGACACACTGCCACTGTGTGATGCAGACAGTCACAGCACTCTGCCACTGTGTGATGCAGACAGCTATGACACACTGCCACTGTGTGATGCAGACAGTCACAGCACTCTGCCACTGTGTGATGCAGACAGTCACAGCACTCTGCCACTGTGTGATGCAGACAGCTATGACACACTGCCACTGTGTGATGCAGACAGTCACAGCACTCTGCCACTGTGTGATGCAGACAGCTATGACACACTGCCACTGTGTGATGCAGACAGTCACAGCACACTGCCACTGTGTGATGCAGACAGTCACAGCACTCTGCCACTGTGTGATGCAGACAGTCACAGCACTCTGCCACTGTGATGCAGACAGCTATGACACACTGCCACTGTGTGATGCAGACAGCCACAGCACACTGCCACTGTGTGATGCAGACAGTCACAGCACTCTGCCACTGTGTGATGCAGACAGCTATGACACACTGCCACTGTGTGATGCAGACAGTCACAGCACTCTGCCACTGTGTGATGCAGACAGTCACAGCACTCTGCCACTGTGTGATGCAGACAGCTATGACACTGCCACTGTGTGATGCAGACAGCCACAGCACACTGCCACTGTGTGATGCAGACAGCTATGACACACTGCCACTGTGTGATGCAGACAGTCACAGCACTCTGCCACTGTGTGATGCAGACAGCTATGACACACTGCCACTGTGTGATGCAGACAGCCACAGCACTCTGCCACTGTGTGATGCAGACAGTCACAGCACTCTGCCACTGTGTGATGCAGACAGTCACAGCACTCTGCCACTGTGTGATGCAGATAGTCACAGCACTCTGCCACTGTGTGATGCAGACAGTCACAGCACACTGCCACTGTGTGATGCAGACAGTCACAGCACACTGCCACTGTGTGATGCAGACAATCACAGCACACTGCCACTGTGTGATGCAGACAATCACAGCACACTGCCACTGTGTGATGCAGACAATCACAGCACACTGCCACTGTGTGATGCAGACAGTCACAGCACTCTGCCACTGTGTGATGCAGACAGTCACAGCACTCTGCCGATCTATAATCTCTAATATGTGGGGTCCACAACGACTCCAGTTAGCCAAGTTTTTAACTGGAAATGTTCACAAATTTAATTTTCAAATTTATTCAGATTTTCCTTCAGCACAAATCTCTATAATCTGAATTACTATTTGGGTTAAATAATGTGAATTCATTCAGAATACTTGCAGATTTGGGTTACAGGAATGTGAATTACCAGGCTCTTTCAGCACAGTCCGTATTTGTCTACCAGTTGAGCTCTACAGCCAACGAGTGGGGACACGGTTAAACGCTACCAGCACGACTAAATGGAATTTGAACTACCACCACTTAGTGGGTACAGAGCTTGCGATCCTTGGATCTTGCATGACCGAGTTTTTATACCAGTGAATTTTTGACAACGCGTTCTCACACAAACACATTCTTAAACTGATGCATTCTTATACCAACCCGTTCTTCTACCAATGCATTCTTATGCCAAGGCATTCTTATACTACTGCATTATACAAATGTCTTCTTATATGAATGGATTCTAATACAGCATGAATGTATCCTTATATAAACGCGTTTGGTTTAATACACACAGAGCCACCTCGCATGGGCCAAAAAGGCCTTCTATATATTTTATTTTTATATTTTATTCTTATTTGTTTATTGATCACGAGGTCAGTAGTGTACATATTTAAAATATTTTGAGCACTAAAATGTCCCTATTAGTCATAATCCCAGAGAAAACAAACTGATTTTGCAGAAGACGACATTTACAACGTTAAGTGTCAACCAACTTCAATAAAGAGTACATCCAATTTATGAGGCAAATAATTTATGATTTGTTTAAGTGTTGAGTCAATAAAGAGTCAAATTTATGATATGGAGCCAAATATTTATATTTCCTATACAATAAGAGCAAAAATATGAAATATACATAGCAAAAGCCAAAATGAAAACAAACAGCAAGATGGTTCTTACCTGTATGGTTTCCAACGGAGCCTCGTTAACCGGCACCACGTCACTTGTCCCACTGAAAACCAAATGGTATTACTACGGCTTCACCCGTACACAGTGTTATCTTACAGACGAACAACAAACACTCCAGACGCCTTAAAACTAATATATATATATATACATAATCTTAGTGCAGAAAAACAAACTTCCACCAGACCCTGATAATACGATTCCAATCCATATTTTTTAAAAGATGAAGATGAATGCAACACTGGGAGAAATGGTAGCTATCTGGATAAGCAAATGAGCATATTTCAAACCAAATTGAATGGTTCATCTTTATTTTCCCCATGTAAAATAACAAATTATGTGTTGACCAGACCACACACTAGAAGGTGAAGGGACGACGACGTTTCGGTCCGTCCTGGACCATTCTCAATCGACTTGAGAATGGTCCAGGACGGACAGAAACGTCGTCATCCCATCACATTCTAGTGTGTGGTCTGGTCAATATACTTTAGCCACGTTATTGTGACTCATCGCCTGCAACAAATTATGTGATAGCCAAAAAATGTAACAAATTGGAAACACGGTTTTGGGTTTGGAATGAGATAACGAGGACGGATTTTGCAGGTGTTAGTTATACTAGAAATTGACATTGATATTATATCAAACGTGATATGAAAGCCCTACATTTTATATATATACACCATCTCCTTAATGTATACCATACATTTTATATGTACCAACCATATATAAGTATATATATCAAGTTGCATACGACTTGATAATGGTCCAGGACGGGCCACAAACGTCGTCGTTTCTTCACCTCCCGGTGCGAGGTTTGGTCACCCTTATCCAGGTGTCTACTGGGAAGTGCGAGTTCAGCAGGAATGGCCAAGTGTCACTTCATCCCAAGGAATTTAAAAGATCTAATGTCCTGCTCCTAACCTAAGGTACTGTTCCTTATGTACCAAGGAACTAAGTACTGTACTAAGAAACTAAGGGACTAAGTACTACTAACTAAGGAACTAAGTACTAAGGAACTAAGCAAAAACTAAGAGATTTTTGACTATATTAATTGAAGCAGATTTTCACTCAAATTTTATAGAAAATCAAGAGCTAAAGCAATATATATAAAATAATATATTGATGTCCCCCCCCCCCCCCCCAAGGTTTAACTACAGACCCTCTCCCCCCAGGATGCTACCCACACAAGAAGCCGACTAACTCCTGGGGTACCTATTTACTGCTAGGTGAACGGGGGGCCCATTAGGCGATAGGCAAAGCGTTCCAATTATTCCCGTCTTGCCCGGTCGAACCTGGAATTCCCAATCGTGTTGAGAACAAACCCGACTGTATGCACCAGGACCTTTCATCTCCAAATTAAGTGTCTTCCGTAAGACCCCTAACAAAGGCTGAACACGGTGTTGGGAAACAAACACCCGTGTAGGATCAAGAGCCGAGTGGACAGTTGCTGCATTCTCATTCGTCAAACTTTTCGTCAAACAAATATTGCCTTCCAGGCTTAGGCCAGTGCCAGATATTTTATCTACATTTTCAAGGAAACTATACATCCTGCAACCTACTTTATAAAGCAGATTTTATCATCATTTCACTAGCAATTTATAGTCAAATGAAAGAATAATCACAAAAAAATCCTTGATTTGGTTATGCACAAGTTCCACAAAGGAAAACTGAAGCAACAATTACGACAAATGAACAAATGAATTACGACAATTCCTTAATAATGCGTTGAAACTCGACAACGTTGGGAATTTTGTTTCATTCTTCCTTTGTGGACACTTACGCATAACCTTCTAGTCATACGTGTATATCATTTTCTTCTACATTTAGTAAAACAACAGAAATGTTACTTACTCTAAACCTGCAACCCCTTCCACCACCAAATCGTCACTCGTCAGCGTTCCCGTCTTATCGAAGCAGCACACGTCAATTTTGCCCGCAAACGGAATGCGGAACGGTTCAGTGCAATACACAAAGAGCTTGGAGAGTGACAGGAGCGAAGTGTTAACGGCCAGAGACAACTCTATGGGCAGTTCGGGCGGCACCACAGACGTCAAAATGAGGGTGCACTCCAGGAACAACTTGTAGCGGTTTCGGTTCGGGTCTTCTGTACCTGGAATAGCGAGCGGCACATACAATTGTGATAAAGGGGAAGGAAACAACGGGGGGAAAGTGCCAAGCCCTTACGACTATATAGCACTTGGAAGGGGTCAGGATAAGGATTTGGGATGTGATGTGGAAAAGAAATGGTGCCCAATCTCGTTTACGGTTGGGGAAGAGATTGGAGAAGAGACCATTCCTTCCACCCTATCCAATGATATATATTGTGTAGGGTGGATGGGGGGGGGAGGGAGCTTCCATCACTTATTGGGATGCTTTAGGCCTCACATATTTGGGGGGGGGGGGGGGGGGAGAGGGGGGGTTGAGGTCTAGGCCTCATTATAATATCTGAGACAAGGAAATACAAGATCAGGAAATGGACAAGATAACAATAACTAGTGATAAATGAAACTCTACATGACAACTTCAGACAAGGATGGAATTAACAATAAGTTATTATGAAGGGAGATAATCAGTCACAATAACGTGATGGACAACCACCCACCATACATGTTGCAACAATTATACCTTCATAAGGGTTCACGACCAGCCCGCTGTCCTCCCTCAGGTTCCCCATCAAGAAACTTGTCATACTATAGTGCCCTTATCCTAACCTACCAGAGGATCCAAAACAGAAAAAGGAACAGTGCGTCAATTTCGCGAGCCGCTTACATTTTCTAGTACGACGATTTTGTCTTCAGGAAAGAGTATTCGTCAAAATGTGACGTTCTATCAGGAGGACGGGTTTCCAGGCCAGACAAATGCTGTCACTTCCATTTCATCCATGTAGGTTGCATTTTTTGTTAATATATGACGAGTTTAATATATAATGAGTCTCTCATTCATTCGAACAAAAACACCAGCTATACATTAAGACATTATGGGTCGTGAAGTACAGCAGTCTGCATTCTTCACGCACAATCCCCGGCTGCACACACCCGGGTGTGGTCGAAATGCTTGGGGCACGTTTTCTTGCACTTCATGTCTACATTCACCCATCAGAAACATATGTACTCAGGAGTTAGGCAACTGTTGTGGTGTGCATCCTAGGCAAGGTCAGTAGTTCAACCTAAAATGGGATGGGGGGGGGGTTGATTCTATTGTATGCACATACAATAGGATCAAACCTTCATTCATGAACTCCACAGCCACAGACCTTGTATTGAGGGAGGACCTCAATACAAAGTCTCCTGTTCCCAACAATGGAAATTAAAATTATCAGTTGCAATACTGACACCGGACATTAGCTATTACCACATACCCTTTATAACATTTTGCTCATAAAGCCTCACAATTAAAATGAAAGTGACAACGTTTCATGGCGTCCTGGACCCTTATCAAGTCGTGATATGACATTAGCAAAACCCTTATCAAGTCGTGATATGACATTAGCAGAGTTATTTCCGCTACATTGTAATTCATTCTTTGCAATTTCTCACCATTCCCACACTCCAAGAGATCAAATATAAATTACAATTTAGAGTTCTCAACAGCACCATGTAGTCCGTAGCAAGATGATTACTGGAATCAAGGCTTCGGAAGAGCCCAATGTTAAAATAGACGATGACTACTTGATGAACACCTTAACAATCATGCGCAGAGGCAATCCTGAACGTACCCTTAATCCAGACGTATGAAGCTGCTGCCACGGCAAACACCAGCAGGAAGAGGATAAATGCGAAGGTTTCCAGATTATTGGCAGTTACACGGCTCACACCGAAGAGAATTGTCCGCAGGAGTTTACCCTGGGCTGTGTTAAAGTTGGTGCGGAGGACATAACAAACACAGCCATTATCAGGAGCTGAAAAATACAATCACATACGTCATAAACATTTGCCATCAAGACGGCACAAATCAATATTATAAGCAAAATTAACACAGCTGGGTGTACTAATAGTAACAAAGTAAATGGCCATAAACAGCCACAAAGTTCAACATTACAGAGGCGGGTCACGAAGGTTTTAAATGTTCATGTGATGGCAATTGGTGAAGGGAAAAAAAGAATGCACAATGAAATCACGAGAACGTGATTTACACACGTGAAATTATCAAGGCCATACAAAAGAATCAAACCCGCATTCATGGACGCCAAAGCCACAGCCACACCCACTTTTAGGCTCATCATTGTCCAATCGGTAGAGGATGTGCCTGGAGAGTCAAGGTATACGAGTTCAATCCCATGTCACGGCCTTCATACATTACCCATACGAAGCAAAAATAATGAAAATGAAGGACCAGTACTTTATGAGGGTCCTGGCACGAGGACGAACACAGGAATCTGCTTATTATTCAACTCATTCTCTCACCTAACGTATCCTATCTGAAGACTAAACCACACACCAGAAAATGAGAAAATGAAGACGACATTTCGGTCCGTCCTGGACCATTGTCGAGTACTGTACTCAAGTCTCACAATTGACTTGATAATGGTCCAGGAAGGACCAAAACATCGTCACATCCTCATTTTCTGGTGTGGGGGTTAGTTTTCATATCTTAAGCCATGTTATTGTGACTTCATCTGCATATCCTATCTTTTACATGACCGAACCCCCCCCCCATGTGTTAAAAGTGTGAACAGTCAGTCACAATTCAAGCACTACAATATCGACCCTTTCTACACATCATTCTACATATGGGGACCTGATAGCTGAGTGGACAGGGTTCTGGACTTGTAATCCTAGGGTCCGGGTTTGATCCCGGCTGATAGCAGAAACAAATGGGTAAAGTTTCTTTCACTCTGATGCCCCTGTTACCTAGCAGTAAATAGATACCTGGAGTTAGACAGCTGTTATGGGCTGCTTCCTGGGAGGGGGGATTAGTTAGTAGTTAGTAACAGTCGATTGATTGACAGTGGAGAGGTGGGCCAAAAGAGCCGAGCTCAACCCCCACAAAGCACAACTAGGTGAATACATAAGCCTCAATTCGCAAAGTGGGTTGCTTAGGTTCATACGTTTCTAGTTCGGCAAAATGTTTGCATTTTTGACAGTGACAAATCTAGAAAATACTCCAGATTATTCAGCACAGACAAGAAATGCGGTGATATAATGATCAAAGAAAAACTAATGAAGCAGCGGTAACCATCGGGGATATTTACGAGATGGTGAGAGTTTTAGATGGAGATAAGTGTATTAATATAGCCACAAAGGTGGTTGACAGAAGAGCTTAATTAATAATTTGTTAAATTTTAAATAAAGTTGATTTATCCTTAAAATGTGCAAATTAAAATTAAAAACCATGGGAGAAAAATAGGACTACATTACAAACACTTCATATGTTAACATTTCCACTCATTTCTCTATAAAACATCTAATTGAACAATAATATTTATTGCTTCCAAAGCTTTCCAGCCATAAAAACCAGCCTGTAATGAAGTTGAGAATGCTAGGGATATGCAATGATACATAATCCAAAACAATGTAAAACACATGAATGTAACGGGTGTAAAAACCTGACATAGTCAAGAGGGTGCTAAACCCATAGGTTACCTACACTAACCCATGGAACCAACATAGTGTACATCCTGTTGAAACTGCTGAAGGAGTGCCGGACCAACCAGGCTGTGGAGGATATGTGGGCCTGCGGGCCGCTCCAAGCAACAGCCTGTGGACCAAGCTCTCACAAGTCAAGCCTGACTTTGGGCCGGGCTTGGGGAGTAGAACAACTCCCAGAACCCCATCAAGCAGATATCAACCAGGCAACTCGCCCCACCACTTCAAAACTTTGGTACAAAAGTGATTACGCGTGTATTGCTTAAAACCTGCTTACTTCAATGCGCAAAATTCAAGGGCTGCCCGTAAATGATAAAACATTGTGAGGGGAAGAAAAAACCTTCATAAGGCAGATAGCATAATTTAAAATAAATCACATCTCTCGACAAACCTCTTAGTCCCGTCACGCTCTTGCTCGGAGGGGTGTACTGAACCACTTTGGTGCCGCCGAACAGGATGTGGAGTTTGGCATCTGTGGCCAAGTCCAACTGCCGATCTAGCTCCACGGCCTCCAGACTCTCCTTCATCTGGGGCACCGATTCACCTGTGACGCAGAGAAGTTCTTTAAGCACCATTCTGTAGTTCACCTTTACATATTGTGTTACAGTCTACTGACACATGCTTTAATTCTAGCCATTTTGTCAATTAATAATACACACATAATCATGACATTATGGAATTCTTAACATACACAGGTAAGATAAATGCTTTCCCTAGGTTGTACTTGCTATATACACGTCTTTACAGACTAACCTTCAGCGTCTGGGGCCAGATTCATGAAGCAATTACGCAAACGAACGTGTACATCTTTTCTCAATCTTTGGCGGCTTTGTTTACAATTATTACAGTTAACGAGCTCCAAAGCACCAGGAGGCTGTTTATAACAGTTGATTGGAAGTTTTCATGCTTGTAAACTGTTTAATAAATGTAACCAAAGCTGTCAAAGATTGAGGAAAGATGTACACGTTCGTAAGTACTAGCGTAATTGCATAATTGCTTTGTGACTCTGGTCCCAGGTTCGTAAATACTTGCATAACTGCTTTGTGAATCTGGACCTGTACTTTCAGTTCATTCCAACGGCTCGCTACTTTTACACACGAGTAGTGGTGTCTTGCAACCCCCCCCCCACCTATGGCTTGCCACAGTTTCTTAATTCCACCCACGTCCTCTCAACCCACCACTGCTCACTTTAATATTTTGTGTGCAGTATTGTCTACGGTAACCGTGATTGCTTGTGTACTGTCTACGGTAACCGTGATTGCTTGTGTACTGTCTACGGTAACCGTGATTGCTTGTGTACTGTCTACGGTAACCGTGATTGCTTGTGTACTTTCTACGGTAACCGTGATTGCTTGTATATTGTTCATGGTAACCATGATTGCTTGTGTACCGTCTACGGTAACCATGATTGCTTGCGTACTATCTACGGTAACCGTGATTGCTTGTATATTGTTCATGGTAACCATGATTGCTTGTGTACCGTCTACGGTAACCATGATTGCTTCTGTACTGCCTATGGTAACCGTGATTGCTTGTGTACTGTTGCTTGCCCATCAGAATCTTGACCAATGTGATAGACCTTGGTACATTGCAAGTTATGATCATATCCTCTGTACTACTTTTCTCCTCTAGTGTATGAATTCCCATTATCGGGGACAGAGCTCAAGTTTATCAAGATCCTCCCCCCACCCTCAGCTGACTACCGAACTACTCTAGAATCAAACAACAGTTGCCTAACTCCCAGGTAACTATTTAACTGCTTAGGTGAACAAGTGCATCAGATGAAAGGTTATGGGGCCTAAATGCTCCTGCCCTGCCAGGGGATCAATCCCAGTAATGCTATCGAGAGCCGATAACATTACCAACTGTGCTGCAGAAGCCATTTAAACTGAGATCTCCTAACCACTTGGCTGCAGTACAGTACTTCTGTTTTAGCCCATACTTTTCTAGGATTAAAATTGGGCTAAAACTAGAAACCTTTATTTTTTGCACTTTTTGTTGAAATTCTATACACATATTCGTTTGCCTTGTTCAGGTTGAAGGTAGACACAGTAGTCGCTTCTGTATATTTATTGAGTGAGGCAAACAGGTGTATAACTAGCCAGCCGAGGTCCACCTACTCTGAGTCTGTGAGGAGAACCGAGGCTGCTGGGAGCAATGGCTGGTGCTCCTCTGTCTGGCATGACGTCAGAGGCCTACTTGCCTGTGATTGGTTATATTTCAACTGACATAGAATTTGAGTATAACACACAGGGGAACCTCAGTGTCTCATAGTAAATTTTTGCGAGAAATTCAATTCGGTAATCGTAGTTTTCCTCGGTGGTCGTAGTTTGTTTATACACATACGGGTCCACCACGAGCGTGTCGCTTCAGTTTACCAGTGTCTCCCGCCGAGTGTTGATCGCGTTTGGATTCTTTGTGAAGAATTTCATTGCTTTTATGCTTTTTTGGTTTCTGAACAGTAAAGTTCTTACTATATATCACGCCATGGGTCCCAAGAAAGTCAGTGGTAAAGTTCAACCTAAGAAAATAGTTGTGAGGATGACGCTAGAGGAAAAACAAAGAGATCATTCATAGTGAGACAATGTGATGTCTCACTACAGACAAGTGCTAAAATGTAGAGAAAAACTAGTGTCTTTAGACAGATTCTTAGTAAGACAAGCAAACAGTGAGTCACAACCCGGTCCTTGTGGTATGCCTGCAAAAACGTAAAAGAGAGTACCCCACAAACGTCATCACTGCAGTCATCACAGTTCCATGGAACATTATGAACGTTCTACTGTATACATATTGTAAAGGTCACAAATATGCATTATATACAATAAAAAAAAAAGCATTGGAAATACATAGAACAAATAATTGAATATATATTTGTGGCAACTCGCGGTGTTTGAATGGCCCGCCCGACCGTGTCTGGGAGCTTCACACACGGGCGACCAGGCCCTGATGACGTCACAGTGCACCTTGTCCACGTCCTCACAGCCAAAGTAAGTGGAATTTGGTATTTATTTTTACATAGACATGTTCAGGGAAGGGAATTTATCATTTAACAAAGAAAAAAAGAATTTTTTGGGGAACACTTGATGTCGTGCGCACAGGAATTTCACAAACTCGGTGCACCAGTGGTTAAATGGGGACATTTGTTTTGAAACAAGAGCATTTCACATGACGAGCACAGCGCCGGAACGGATTAAATTTGTTATTCGAGGTACCACTGTATGTATGTATATATGTATATTTTATTAAGTAAAAAATGAATATTAAATTGTTTCATAAGTATTTTTTTAACCGATATTAACACTTTCGCGCTCCCGGCGAAGGTCAGGGAAACAACCGTATGTGCGCGCGGCGTTTTTATCGCTTAAGCGTAAAAACAAAAATGTGTATACTCTTTTTACTCTCCTGACCTTAGTTCTCATGCTACGTATTTCATTTTGGTACCAACGTGTTCGCAATAAAATTCTCTAGAAGAACATCAGTAAAAAAAGTCACGAAAGCTATAGAGATACCAGCACGAAATAAATAACTACGAAGATGAGTCGCCGTGAGCGCCCAACAGCAACAAAATGTTTTTACTCTTGGGATTATTATCACCTCTACAATTGTCCTACAGCCTTAATTTTGGTATCAATGGACTCCCAATGAAATTCCCAACACGGTGATATGAATATAATCGTAGAATAATGGTCGCGGCCCACCCGCAAGAGTGTGGGAAGTGGGCGCACTGTTACCCGGTAACGGTGACCGGACGACACATGCGCGAAACGTTGCTTTGAAAGTTTATACTTATTTCACTGTCCTGATATTATTATTGTATGTATGTCATTCATTTTTGTGGCAATGTGTTCGCAATAGAATGTTCTATGAGCTAAATTATACTACACAAACTTGGACCAAATAGGTGTACTTACCAAGGGAAGGCTGGTTGTGGAACAGTAAGTTGAGCATTTGTTCTTCACTCCACCTTCTTCAGGTTCTTCATTCCTGAAGTTGCTCAACAGATGGTTTGTAGGTGGAGTGAAGCTGTTGCGGGTGGTTACTTCTTCACCACCCAATACACCCTTTTCCGGTGGTAATTGGTGTAGCAGGGAATAACACAGAGTGCAACGTTGCAGGTCCTGCATCCTATGTTCGTGTCCTTCCTTTTACCGGACCGTGCGCATACATGACACTTGAGACGTTTGGGCAGTCTGTAAAGTTCATGTTTCAGTTTTGTGTTCATGCGATTTTCTGAATCAACAATAGGGCCAGGTCTTCTCGGTTGAGGTGAAACATTTGCAGGAGAGTCAGATTCATCTGACAAAACAGTTTCGTCAACTGGCAGTGTGGCAGACATGTCGGGTTCAGATGGCAGTGTGGCAGACATCTCGGGTTCAGAATCGGTTGCTGCTTCATCTTGAGGTGGTGTAGTGAACAAAGGCCGCCTCACACCAGATGGTCCGGGAGTTGGCATGGCGTCAGCATTGGCAGGAGCTGTGTCATCATTTATGTCTGGAGCGTGCCGCAAGTGTTGAGATGATGATGATGTTTTAGGCCACTCTGTGTCCCAGTGCAATAGGGCCCAGATTGCCACTTCGTGGAACTGTAGCAATGTTAGCTTTTTTCGATCAGTTGTGTTGTATTTGTACAAAACATAGGCATTATGCAATGCCATTTGCAGGAAATAAAAGGTAATCTTTTTGGTCCACTTGTGAGTTTTCCTGGTAAAATGGTAATATTTAACCATTTGATCGAAGTGGTCCACACCTTTCATGAACTTATTGTACTCGCAAATTGCAGTCGGTTTGTTCACTGTTACCTGTTGTATTCCACTTGTTCCGTCTCGTTTGCGAATTCGTTTCCTTCGCTGAACTTGCTGAGTGTCTGCATTGTGGATGTTGGTAATTATTGAGACTACTCGCTTGTCTCTCCACAGGAGAATGAAGGTGTTATCTTTGCGGCGGTATACGGTGGTATCCAGTGGAAGTTTACCCTTGGCTAGAGCTTGCAATACCTTTGGGGCGCCACGTAGCATTCTAATTGTGCCACATGTGTACACCCCAAGTTCTCTCAATGTTTCTGTCAGGGTAACCGAGTTGTAGTAATTATCCATGTACAAATGGTAACCCTGGTTCACTAAAGGCTGCATCAACCCCGTTACTGTATCCACTATCGTCTTACCAATACCTGAGTATACGTCAAAGTCATATATGTACCCAGAGACAGATTCAGCAAGCATATAAAGTTTCACACCATACTTGTCTGGTTTGTTTGGATTGTACACTTTGAAGGATAGTCGGCCTCGCCATGCCATTGTACCCTCATCCAAACACAACTCTTTCTTGGGGATGTAAACTTGAGCAAACCTGTCTTTCAAGTAATCCATCACTGGCCTCACTTTTATCAACTTATCACGATTGTTCACGGGCACTGCATTGGTATTGAATGTGTGGAAAAACTGGTTTATATGCTGGAATCGTCTGGACGTCATGAACAAGCTGAAGAAACGAGCATGCCATGGCTTTGCTGTTTGCCAATACATCCTCATAGTTGGGAGCCTAATTATGCCCATCAATATGAACAGTCCTAGGAATCGCGCCATTTCACTCACCTTCACTGGGTTCCAAATATCTGATACATTTTCATTGGCCATCCGGAATAACTGCGAGGCGTACAAATTTGTTTCAACGGTCAAGAATTCAAGGAGGGCACGCGTGATGAACAATTGAATATAAGCCAGTGCACTAGTAGGTTTGGGAATTTTCAGTCCAGGATTTCCAGTAAAATCATCAACAACTGGAGGAGTATTGCTACGACTCCAGCCCTCACCAGCCCCAGCCTGCCGAGTACGTACTGTACGTGTACGCCTTTCAGGAGGCTCGAATGAATCCTCCTCACTTTCCTCATCACTTATACTTTCAGAATCACTTGGCGCAGTTTGTCGTGTGTTCCTACGACGAGCAACATTTCTGGTAGCTACTTTTCTAGGTAGCCTAGATGCACCACGTGTGCGCCGAGATGGAGGAGGAGGAGGGGGTCGCGGTGCCTCCTCTTCCTCGGTGAGGGCCTCAGTCTCCTCATCACTCGTTGCCGTATCATTCCCTCTAGGTCTAGGTCCACTATAATCGTTGTGGTATCCAACATCTTCCTCCAATACCTCTACATCACCTTCAGCTTCTGATAAATCCTCCACAAGGCCTGGAATTTTCGTTGGTGTGAGCTTCACTCCGCTCCACTTCTTAAAAATCATGGTTATTTTGTCCACTTTCGATGACCTGGAGGCTTCCTTGGGCGTAGAAGTGCTTGGGCCTTGACCTGGATCCATTTTTGATGAAGTAATTGGGTATAATCCACACGGAAACGGGTAAAAATGCTCGAGTTTGGCGCGCGAGGGGAGCGTGATCGACTCACGACACGTGACACGAAAACAATGGGCCCGTCACGTGACCGGGTAGGCCGACGCGCCGGGCGGCCTAGTGGTGAGAAAGAGAACTTCATGGCGCGTCGTTTGAAACAAACCCCAATGAAATCGGATTAAAATTGAATTTTATACAAATATTTTAAAAGAGGACATAACTTTATGTCCACTTAGCGGAAGCGGGTAGGCGAAACAGGACGCCGGGGTGCGTCCTGATCCCGCAGAAAGTGTTAATAATGGAAAATTTCACACGCAATGCTGATTTCTATGTATCAAGCCTGTTTGCAAAATAACATCGCTCAATGGGTTTTGTAAGCAGCCAGTCCAAAACACAGCACCAACACTAACCAGTAAGCATGCTCTCGTCCACCACACAAGGCCCACGAAGCAAGAGCAAATCGCAGGGAACGAGATTGTCGTTCTGGCTCCGGCCCACACTTACAATATCTCCAGGAACCAGCTGATCCGTCATCACCGACCGCCACCTACGATTGCGGTAGGTCTGAAAGAACGAACAGGTTGAGGTATTAGGTATTTTGAAGGAAAAACGTAAACCACTTAGCATTATAAACTAGAATAAGTTTGTAAAAAAAAAAAAAATGCACTTGATGTATATACAAAATCAAACCCCTAGCTTAACGCTGACTGCCACTATTTAGAGACCGGCTATGACGCTCGAATGACCTAGTAATAAAAAAAGCATTCCAGTCTCTGTGGAACAAATATGAAGCTAATCAATTTGTGTACTTTAAAAAAAAAAAAATAGTTTCAAACTGTTATCTTGAGGTTATCTCGGGGTTTTAGTGTCCCTGTGGCCCGGTCCTCGACCAGGCTTCCATCCCCCAGGAAGCAGCCCGTGACAGCTGACTAACACCCAGGTACCTATTTTACTGCTAGGTAACAGGGGCATAGGGTGAAAGAAACTCTGCCCATTGTTTCTCGCCGGCGCCCGTGATCGAACCCGGGACCACAGGATCACAAGTCCAGCGTGCTGTCTGCTCGGCCAACCGGCCAACTGTTAATATTATACATAACCATGTGTTATAATTGCTTTGCTAATAGTGAGAAGCAATAATTCCAGAGTAAAAATGAATAGAAACTGAAGCAATAAAGTGACTATACAAAGGCACTCTTGGCCAGTGGCAGCAAAATAAACATGTGGACAATTTGTTTATATGTGCCAGACTGACACCATGGCAAGATTTCTTAGTCCTGTTCCTACTATATACCACAATTTTCATTAATGTTTAAAAACTATTTGTTTTTGTATGCTGGGGACATGTTAATGCTATAGCTGCATTGCCAAGACCAGTATAAAAAAAACTTAAATCAAAATAACTCAATAAAATTAGGCCAAACACACACACACACACACACACACAGGGTCATACCTGAATCATATACGGCTTTGCCCCCATCTTGCGGATCTCCGACATGTTCCGCAGCTGCTGCTGCACCAACGTGCACTCGAAAATGACCAACATGAAGAGTGTGAATAGGGAGTAGTACCAATACTCGTCCAGACACCACAGTCCCACACAAAACACCTGAAATGTCACGTTACAATGTAGCAATTTGATATACTTCCTGACCATTAGTACAGTACAGGAAATATGGATTGTACTGTATATACCGTACAGTACAGTACATGACGGGTAATAACGTCACGCATGCTCATTGCCAAAACGTTTTACATGGCGTTATATCAAGAAGTTACAGTATAAATTATGACACGTGCAAGATGGCAAATATATATTTTACACAAAGAATAATCAATCAGCCAGATATTTGTTAGTAATGCTTATATTGTACTCTTTAAGACGGAAAATCTGCACAGCAATACCTAGGTAATTGCTTCAAGAACACAATACTCCTGTAGAAAACAAAATTCATTGCCACAAACAAAAATTAAAAAGCTAAACAAAATTTAAATTCAAGACAATGGTGATCTAATGCTCAGCTTCCACACTGTGTGGTATAAACTCAACATTTTTATACCTCCAATATTTATATATGTTAGCATTGCTTGAAGAGAAATTCTGTGTCTGGTCTTTTCCACAGAAGTAAATACAATAGCATATAATGAGGGGTTTTGCACATGTCAAAATGTGCAAAACTACTACTACCACTTAGTCCTATATCATTAAGTGGTAGTTAGGACTAAGTAGTCCTATAGGACTAAGTGGTAGTTAAACGTTACAAATAACTGGAAATATTTTTGTAAAGTCACCAGAACACAACATTTCGGGCAGGTCTTGATCTTAATTTCCCCCGGAATACAACGTGCCAAATCGTTTAACCACCAGGTACCATTTACAGTTGGGTGAACAAAGCCTTACAGTTTAAGGATTGCTGCCCAGTCAATTCTCCCCGGCCAGGATACAAACTCAGGCCAAATCGCTCAAGAAGCACGAGGCAAGTGTCTTACCACTGCACCATGGGGACTGCTGTATGTAATCATACCAGGCAGGTATGATTATTAGAGTATAGTGCTCACCTGGAACACAAAGAATGGTGCTGTGGCTCTCTCCTTGAACAGCTCGGTGAACTCTGGAACATCCATCTGGAGGCTGAAAAATGGAAATGAACACAATACAGTACTGTATATCTACATCTCTGGTACCTCCTCTCTTATATACAACCTGAAATAAGTTGGAATGCATCTGTGAACTAGTATTTAAGGCAGCCACTATTAGCTTTTCATCTTAAACATTCAGGCTCTATACAGCTCAATTTTAAACATATTTGAGTATTTATTTGTACGAAATTACACGACCAAAATAAACACATCATAACTTTTCAACTCAAATAACAAGCGTACAGCTTCCTGTCCTTGCCGAGGCCACTAAACACGGTGGTCCTTAGGTAAATTCAGATAACTAAACACTACACAAGGGACTTGGCTACAAAACAGATCAGATTCTGATGGATAAAACAGATGGCAGATCACATTCTGGGTAAAACACACTGCTGAATCATGGTAAGCAATGTAACAAGCGTATAACTGACAATACAGTGGTACCTCGGAATGCGAGTGTCCCTGTATGCGAGTTTTTCGGAATACGAGCAGGATTTCCTCGAATAATATGTCTCGGAACGCGAGGGTTACCTCGGGACACGAGTTTGTTGATACCCGTACAGGCCGACCCAGCGTGTGGTGGTTCGGCGATCGTCGCCCCTCCACCCCTCAGTTTACCATTGTCTCGCACCCAGTGACTACCCACATCAATTCTTCTCGCGGATTTTCAGTGTTTTGTTGGATTTTTGGTGATTTGACTATACAATTTGTTATTATATATCTCACCATGGGTCCCAAGAAAGCCAGTGGTAAGGATAAAGGCCAGAAAGCCCATGTGAGGATGACAATAGAGGAGAAACAAGAGATCATTCGGAAGCATGAGAACGGTACACGTGTTGTTGAACTTTGTAGGCAGTACAACAAAGCCACATCAACAATATGCACTATACTTAAGAAGAAAAATGAGATTATGAGTGCTAAAGTGGCAAAAGGAGTCATAACAATAACGAAACAAAGACCACAAATACTTGAAGAAGTGGAAAAGTTGTTATTAATTTGGATACACGACAAGGAGTTAAGGGGTGACAGTGTTTCGGAGGCCATTATTTGTGAGAAAGCCAGGGTTTGGACAGATTTGTGGTGAGGAAATCAAGCAGTGAGCCTCAACCAGGACCTAGTGGCACTCAGATAAAACGTCCCAGGGAAAGCACACCAGAAAGGTCCTCACTGCCTGATGTTATAATGGAAGGGGACTCCCTTTCCAAACAGTAACTCCTCTCCTCCCCCCACCTCCTCACCATCTTCCATACGCCTACAGCATTCAACAGCAAGGTAAGTAATAACTTGAACATAGTTTTGTAGGTTTATTTAGATGAATTAGGTATAAAAATTTAGTTTGATGTGGGGTTTTTGGGGTAGTCAGGAACGGATTAATTCATTTCTCTTTATTTCTTATGGGGAAATTAGCTTCGGAATACGAGTTTTCGGAATACAAGGCGTCTCCAGGAACCAATTAAACTCTTAAACTGAGGTATGCCTGTATGCACGAATTATAAGCAAGAACAACCCCCCTCCCCCATACTCTAGCCGTGTCAAGAACCGTGTGGGTACTAACTCGTTCTTTCCAAATCTCTGCTCGGCCGCAGCAAGGTCGGCGTCCTCCTGGTAACCGCGCCATTCTGCATACGTCCGTAACTGAAGATCCACCGGGAACTGCAGCCCCACAAATTGTTTCCTCTCCTCACCATCCCAAATGTATTTAGCTTTTTGAAAGCTAAACCAAATGGCTTCCTTGGCATCTTTGTTGATCTGCAGACAGAAATGTTGTACTGTATTAAATAACCAAAGAACACATAAATAAAGGTAAATAGCAGAGGGCCTATTTTGGCCCATACAAAGGCAGCTCCTTATAACCAAACTCATTCATATACATGTATAACCTCAGCATGAAACAATCCAATGAGCCCACATCTATTATGTTGCCTATTAACGTGTTCCAGAAATCAACCACATAGTTTCCAAACCAGTGGACCCTGATGGGCTTCACAATATCCCAACAAGAAGCACAACTTGACTGACAGCTTCAACATTAACTCAAACTAAACACGTTCTTATGTTCTCATCATGAAGAAAGCGCTGACTCAGAACTCACCACAGTCTGGTGAACCCGGACGAGCTCGGGCGAGCCATTGTTGGGCGTCGGCACAACCTTAGCTACCGTGGCCAACTGTGGGTTCTTCTCCTGAAATAAAATAAGTCTTGCATGGGATTAATCTGGAGATACCAAAAACAAAAACGCAAAAATTATGCGGGCGATGAGTCACAATAACGTGGCTGAAGTATGTTGACCAGACCACACACTAGAAGTTGAAGGGACGACTACTATCCCCTACACCTTACTTTCCTCCTCAGCCCTCTCTTGCCTATTTATTGCCTGTCCCTACCTGTCCTCATCACAATCGACTTGAGAATGGTCCAGGACGGACCGAAACGTCGTCGTCCCTTCAACTTCTAGTGTGTGGTCTGGTCAACAAAAATTATGCATTTATTCGACACATTTACAAGAATGAAGAATTAAATTCAAGTCCCAATCACTATCAGACACCTGGCCAACCCGGCTGGGAAGCTCACGTTAGTGAATGGACCACTGCCCTGGGAGAGAGACGCCTCAATATATTAAGTGTCTATATATGACACTATTTCGATGAGGAAAATAATGACAATGGATGAAAAAATGATAAAGAATGGACATGCAAAACAACATAACTAGTCTCTCAATTATCTAATGGAAATAGGGTTCAGCACGGGTAAATTGGTAAGAACCCGACAAGCGGAAGGGGCAGGAGGAAGCGACAAGCGTAAGGGGCGGGAGGGAGCGACAAGCGGAAGGGGCGGGAGGAAGCGACAAGCGTAAGGGGCGGGAGGGAGCGACAAGCGTAAGGGGCGGGAGGGAGCGACAAGCGGAGGGGGCGGGAGGAAGCGACAAGCGGAGGGGGCGGGAGGAAGCGACAAGCGGAGGGGGCGGGAGGAAGCGACAAGCGGAGGGGGCGGGAGGGAGCGACAAGTGGAAGGGACGGGAGGAAGCGACAGGCAGGTGGGTTGGAAGGGAAGGGAACAATTAGGAGAAAGCACCATGCCATTAAGACTATACAGCACTAGGAAGGGTTCAGGATAAGGAATTGGGATGAGATGGGGCGGAAGGAATGGTGCCCCAACCACTTGGTGGACGGTCGGGGGATTGAACACAGGCCTGCATGAAGCCAGACCGTTGCTCTAGTGGCCACTCCAAGAGGTTGAACAAGGGAGAAAGCGACAAACAAACGAGTGGGAGAAAGCGACAAGCCGAGGATCGGGAGGAGAAAGCAACACACACACACGGAAAAGAAGAACACTAACAGGCATACAAACAAAAGAAACAAACAAAATCCACCATTTATTTATTTATTTATATACAAGAAGGTACATTGGGTTTGTGAGAATACATAGCATAGCATAGTATTTACACTCTTGTAAAGCCACTAGTACGCGCAGGGTTTCGGGCAGGTCCTTAATCTAGCAGATAATTTTAAGTAGGTAAATTCTATCAGAATTAATAAAATGAGAACAAATACATTGCAAGAAAAAAATGAGATGAGAGAGATTAGTAAGTATATTAAAGCACATTGGTATATTAAAGCTCTGATTGATTACATTGACAGCTTGATTGGTAATTTAAACAAGATTAATAGACACCATACAGCAGATTGACAGCACACATAAGACAGCAATGATCACAATGATAAAGATGTTCAGATTGGGAACATAAAGATTGGGAGATTGGGTAGCAATAGATACAGTGCAGTTTTAAAGCAAAAGGTAAAAAACTATAAAGATGAAATTAGGTACTTTTTAGTATTGTTTTTGAATGACGCAAAAGTTGGACAACTTTTCAAATCATTAGGGAGTGAGTTCCATAGACTGGGTCCCTTTATTTACATAGAGTGTTTACACAGAATAAGTTTGACTCTGGGGATATCAAAGAGATATTTATGTCTGGTGTGGTGATAATGGGTCCTATTACATCTGTCCAGGGAGAGTTTCAGAGCAAGATTTGCATTTAAGAACAGGGTTTTGTAAATGTAGTTGACACAAGAGAATGTGTGGAGTGAGGTTATCTTTTAGCATGTTAAGGGAGTTAAACAAGGGAGCTGAGTGTTGTCTGAAAGCAGAGTTTGTTATTGTTCTGATAGTACATTTTTGCTGGGTGAGGATGGACTTGAGGTAGTTTACAGTGGTTGAACCCCATCTTGAGGTTATCTTGAGATGATTTCGGGGCTTTAGTGTCCCCGCGGCCCGGTCCTCGACCAGGCCTCCACCCCCAGGAAGCAGCCCGTGACAGCTGACTAACACCCAGGTACCTATTTTACTGCTAGGTAACAGGGGCATAGGGTGAAAGAAACTTTGCCCATTGTTTTTCGCCGGCGCCCGGGATCGAACCCAGGACCACAGGATCACAAGTCCAGCGTGCTGTCCGCTCGGCTCCCATGCACAGATACCATAATTAAGATAGGGATAGATTAGTGCATAATATAGAGAGATGAGAGCAGAGACACAAGAACCAAAGCCCCCCCTCCCCCCCCCACCCCAGGAGAGCCCCCCTCCCCCCCCCCCCCCACCCCAGGAGAGCCCCCTCACCTTCCTGCAGGTGAGGAGACAGCGGACCTGGACGGACCAGTGACAGAAGAGACAGGCCAGCACCTGCAGGCAGCCCACGCCGGCCACCACAATGAGCCCGGCCTCGAAGTACTCCTCCCACCCGTACACCCACACCCACGCCCACGCCCACGCGGCGTACACCACCAGGAAGGGCAACACGTAGCCGTGCAGCACGAGGGGCCGGGGCACGTACAGGCCCACGGAGGCCACCAGGTCGTCCACACAGCTGGAGGAAGGAGCAGGAGAGGAAGCCATCACTGCTCTCAGACGACGCTCCAAAACAGACACTCTCCGTATCCTTTCCTGCCATGTTACAACTCCCGTTATTTCAGCTGATTAACACTACTACCACCCACATCGCCACGCCATTATGTAATATAACATTTATTTACAAGTATATTTTGTCATATAAGAGGCTTATAATCCCAAATATGGGGTTTAATAACGGATCATTTTTGAGTCGAAGCCAAGTTAGCGAGAACGAACATATTACGTGTAATGTCAGACAGAGAAGTCACACTCTGCGCACTCCACGGCAATTGTTGGCCAGGGATGTACAATTAATTATTTATTGCCTTCTAAATACTTTATTTCCAATATTACATCAAGTAATTTATTTATATAAGCACCCAAGGTATCGTACATATTAATTATTTATATGCTTCTAAATACTTTATTTCTAATATTACATCAAACAATTTATTTATTTAAGCACCCGAGGTCTCGTATATATTTATTATTTAATATAGGAAGCAAATTACCTTTAAGTTAGCGTCAATATCGTATTTATTAATTGAATATTTATGTATTCTATAGAGGATACCACCTCTGGTACAATTGTAGGGGCCCCATAGCCTTCAAGAGCCTCTAATCTATCTGATAATTGAATATATATCTATCTAATCTATCTATCCAATAATTCAATATATTCATATATATAAATATTCACGAATATATTTGTAATATATTTTGGCGTATACAATTATCAAACAATCAACGTTTCTCAGTCCATAGCTAGAAATTTTATAGTTAATGTTTGATATTTCAAATCAAATCAAATCAAATGTTTATTTAGGTAAGGTACATACATACAAGAGATTTTACAAAGAGTGATGGATTTATAGATAGGGCTAGTACATACAATGCCTAAAGCCACTATTACGCAAAGCGTTTTGGGCATGAAAAACTTAAATGACTAAAGCTTAATACTAATTGAGCATAAAGAATAAAATGAAAACATGGAATGAAAACATGGCTGAAAAAGCAGCACAAATACAATTATGTCGACAAACAGCGCTCTTAAAAAAAAAAAAAACAGACATTGGTTGACAATAGAGAGGTAAGGTAGGTTACAGGGAATTATAAATAGGTATAACTTCGTTTTTATCTTAAACTGGTTGAGAGAGGTACAGTCTTTAACATGGTTGGGAAGGTCATTCCACATTCTGGGCCCCTTGATTTGTAGAGCATTTCTAGTTTGATTAAGTCGTACTCTAGGAATATCAAAACTGTATTTATTTCTGGTGTGGTGCTCATGGGTTCTGTTACAACCTTCTATGAAGCTTTTGAGGTCAGGATTGGCATTACAGTTCAGCGTTTTATATATGTATAATACACATGAGAGAATGTGCAGTGACTTAATATCTAACATATTCAGAGATTTGAGTAAGGGTACCGAGTGATGTCTGGGGCCAGAGTTGGATATTGTCCTAATAGCAGCTTTGTGTTGAGTAATTAGAGGACGTAAATGATTTTGGGTAGTAGAACCCCAAGCACAAATACCATAGTTGAGATAAGGATAGATGAGGGAGTAATAGAGAGTCACCAGGGCAGGGCGTGGTACATAATATCTGATCTTAGAAAGAATGCCAACAGTTTTTGAAACTTTTTTTGATATATTTAGAATGTGTCCCTGGAAATTCAGTTTGTGGTCAATGAGAACGCCAAGGAATTTGCCATCTAATTTGTTACAAATTTGGGTATTGTTTATTTTGAGATTTATTTGATTAGAGGATTTATTGCCAAACAAAATATAGAAAGTTTTGTCAATGTTAAGGGTGAGTTTGTTGGCAGTTAGCCAAAGATGGACTTTATTAAGCACAGTATTTACTGTGGCATTTAGAGCAAGGGGGTCAGGACTGGAGTAAATGAAGGTCGTGTCGTCAGCAAATAGAATTGGTTTGAGATGTCGGGAGGCATTTGGAAGGTCATTAATGTAGATGAGAAAGAGGAGAGGGCCAAGTATGATGCCCTGAGGAACACCAATGTTGATGGGTAGGGTGGGAGAAATTGAATTATTCACAGAAACATACTGGAGCCTGTCAGTAAGGTAAGATTTGAGGTATTGCAGGGAGTGTCCTCTGACTCCATAATGATGTAATTTAAGAAGAAGGTTTTGGTGGTTGACAGTGTCAAAAGCCTTACGCAGGTCCACAAATAACTCAACAGGGAACTCATTTTTATCTAGAGCTGCATGAATCAAGTTAATCATACTAGTAAGTGCATCGTAAGTGCTTTTTTGGGGTCTGAAGCCATATTGACAAGAGCTAAGTATATTGAGTTTGGCTAGATAAGAGTAAAGCTGCTTGTAGATTAGTTTTTCAAATATTTTTGACAAGTTTGGCAGAATTGATATAGGTCTGTAGTTGTTAACATCTGTGAGATCACCACATTTGTGACAGGGGTTACTCTCGCTTTTTTTTTTAGAATATCTGGAAAGGTTTGGAGTTCAAGTGACTTGTTGAAGAGCAATGCAATAGCAGGGGCTAAAGATCTGGAGGCTTTTTTGTAAATAAGAGTTGGTATCTCCTCAAGGGCACTAGACTTGGTTTTAAGGGAAAGGATTATGTCAGTAACATCAGTGGAATTAGTAGGCTTTAGGTACACAGACTGTGGATAGTTACCTGTAAGATAGTCCTTAACATCAGTACTGGAAGATGGAATATCATTTGCAAGGGATGACCCAATGGAAGAGAAGAACCTATTGAACTTAAAAGCAGTGTCAGAGGCTGAAAGCAGACCATCATTATTTGACAGGAATATTGGTTTGTTATTTAAAATCTTCTTTGATCCCAATATTTGTGAACTTGTGCTCCAAGTTTTCTTAATATTGGCCTTTGTGTGGGTAAATTTATCTTCGTAGTATTTAATTTTGGCTCTCCTAATTATTTTAGAGAGCAATGATGAGTAATTCTTTGAGAATTCTTTGGAGACGATTCCTAACCTATACTTATTCTCAAGGTCATGTTTTTTATTAATGGATTTAAGTATTCCCTTTGTAAGCCAAGGATTGTTTAGCCTTTTGGTTGTGACTTGTTTCGTTAGCATAGGACAGTGGATATTATAAAGGCTTAGAGTTTTTTGAAGAAAAGATTGCACTGCTAGGTTGATGTCCTCTATGGTACCTAATTCAGATTCCCAGTTGATATCAGCAGCAGCAGCTATAAAATTGCCTATAGCAGTTTCATTGTGCAGCCTAAAGCTTAACTCCCTTGCCTCTAGAGGTGGTTTGTTAATGTTAGTTAAGAGAAATGTGGGGTAATGGTCTGTAGTGCTATCGGTGATTATCCCTGAAGCAAGTGGAGAAGTTATGTTGGTTAAGATTTGTTATGGTTTTCGTTAGCTTTGTTTCTGTGAGTGCTATTATGTCTGGGTTTTCTTCTAGTGCCCATTCTCCGAGTTCACTTGTTTTATTTGTAATCCCACCTATGTTAGTGTACATTGCCTTGAAGCTCACTTTCTTCTGTTCATTTTCTTGTCCCCTTCTTAGTGAGCATTCTGCTGGTGTGGGAAGCTGTTCCCTGAGTGAGAAGATCTGTGAGGTGGTTTGCAGGGTCTCAGAGGATTTTGGGGTGGGGTGGGGGGGGGGGTCAAGGGAAGGGGGAACAGGTAGGGTATGGGGTAAGGAGATAGGGGGTGGCATGGAGGATACGGGGTGAGGGGGAGTAGGAAGGATAGGGAGGGTATGGGATGAAGGGGGAGGGGGACATGATGGGAATGGGGAGGGGTGACAGGGTCGGAATAAGGTGGGGGGAGGGAGGGTTGGGTGGGGGCACGTAGGGTTAGGGGAAGGGAGGGTTTCTATGCAGAGGGGGGGGGGGGTTGGTGGTGGTGGTGTTGCCCTCCCCTCTGGTGTTGCTGGGATGCTTGTTTTGGGTTCCCCTCTTGTCTCTGGGACTGTTGTGTTGGGGGCTGTGATTTCCTGGTTTGCTTCTCCCTCCCTGCACTTCCTCCTTGCCTCTGCTGCCCTGGCTCTCTTCTCCTTCGTCTTGTCCCTCTGCAGGAATACTTTTTTGTATCCCTCTACATGCTGCAGACGACTCTTCCTTTCTAGAATAACCTCTTTCGTGGTCTCGTTTGCAAATACCACCTTTACCAGTCGGTTTCTGTCCTTGTTGTACCAGCCCAACCTGAAAACCTTCTCAATGTTTTGTTCAGCCCCTTCCATCTGTAATCCCCTTTAGTAGCCCATCTACTGCCTCTCTGTCCTTGCTATTCCATTCCTGCCTATTGGATCCTTCCTGTTCTTCGATGCCTACAACTACCACTAATCTTTTTCTTTCCTGCTTCCTGTGAGGTACCTGCTTGCATGGCTACCTCCCTCACTGTGTCCACTGCTTTTGAGCTCTTTCTCAGTATTTCCGCAAATGTTTCAGGTACAGAGGCATTTCCTTCCAATGCAACATATGCACCTTCCCTTTGGATGATACTCTGTTGCTCGGCCTCTTTATTTTTATCTGTGAGGGATTTGATCTCCTCCCTTGCTGATGTCAGTTCACTTTGCAGGTTGTTAATTGTAATCCTCATTTCATGCATCTTCCTCCTGAATTCCTCCAAAACTTGGGCTAATATTTCCTTTGTTTGATCACTTTTACTATTCCCGTGTCCCTGGTGCGTCCTCCTGCCATCTTGTCCCTTTCCCCGGTATGTTTTGATAGGGTTAGGGGAGGGCATGTGCACAGAGAGAGAGAGAGAGAGAGAGAGAGAGAGAGAGAGAGAGAGAGAGAGAGAGAGAGAGAGAGAGAGAGAGAGAGAGAGAGTGAGAGAGAGAGAGAGAGAGAGAGAGAGAGAGAGAGAGAGAGAGAGAGAGAGAGAGAGAGAGAGAGAGAGAGAGAGAGAGAGAGAGAGAGAGAGAGAGAGAGAGAGAGAGAGAGAGAGAGAGGGGGGGGGGGGGGGGGGGGGGTGGGGGCGGAGGGAGATTATATGTCACTATTTATGGTGTCCAGTTGACGTGTAGGGGAAAGTGGGGGATGTGCGGTGTTACCATGACTTGTTAATCCCTACACACACG